AGACACTACAGAAAGGGAAATTGGGATATAGTGATTTAGACACAATAGATTTTATGACATCCAAATGCATGATTTTTTCTCTGCCGCAAAACACTGGCCCGGCCTGGCTGCGCTTCCCTGGGAGTGACTGGGAGGGCGAGGGCAGGGCCAGCCAGCCAGCAGGGACCCACAGCAGGGGACGAAAGAGCCGCATGCGGCTTGGGATACGCATTTTGCCAACACCCGCCCTAACTAGATAATATCATCAGTGCTAACAAGGAGTGCTGTTTGCTATCAGTTTATATTCTGGTATCTTGTCTGTCTGTGTGGGTGGGGGCCGTCTTAGGGGTTCTTTGTTTGGGCTGTTTACTAATGGCTCTTTGGCTGTTTCTTGATTGGGGTATTGCTTACTTGATTGTTAGTCTGAAATTGACCTTGGAGTTAATCTATGCTGATCTGAGTGTTGATTACTTAGTAAAAGGACCTTTTACTAAGAGTTATCCATTTCATGCATAAGTAATGGAAGATTCGTGACTCACCAAGGAAATGTAAGAGCAAGTAGCTAATACCAGTAGAAATTCAGACATACTAGAATAGCAAAGGACTCTAATTTTATAAGGGAAACTTCAATAAAAAGGACTTTTAGTTCTGTCAAAATTAAGGGTTATGGGAGGGGGAGTAGACTGACTGCTTGGAAAGGATGGATAGTAACACATTACAGAAAGTAGACAGAGGTCTTCAATTCCTGCTTTGCTTCTATCCCCCCCCGCCCAAACAAAAGAGTTTTCAGTCAACTGAATCAGAACAATTTCCATGAGGGAATAGTAATCCCAGACAAGTAGTAGTTAGTAAGCGGCTGAATAATATGAATGGGTTTTAAGTCTTCATAACCAGGTTAATTATAAATTACCAAATGAAATGTCTATTTCAGCAACAAATAAATACTTTTTAATATTACCTGAAGAACCCGCAAATAAAAGTAGTTTATATAAGATCCCATAGTTTAGCCAAGAGGGAGAAGGTGCCACATTTCCCCCAATGCTCTAAACGTCAGTGTTTACTTCCATGAAGTTTTTCATCTTCCACTTTCCTACATCTCCTATATCCCATTTACCTCCTATATCTCTTAACACCAAACAATAACCAAGCAGCCCTCCAGTTCCTGTTGAGAAAAATTCTGATAACTATTCTGTAGAAACTGAGAGTAGAAATGGTAATAAGCTTTTGTAACAAAAAGTGTTGAGAAATCCAGCATTTGTCTACAAGCATGACAGAAACAGAAAGCTTAAAAGAGGTGTGATTTTGCTTTTTGTATCGTTATTTTTTGGATATGGAAATTTCCTTCCCTCAGAACCTTCTATGGCAGTACTGTCAAACTTACGGCCCCCAGGCTGGATGTATCACGCGCTGGCCATGGCCATGGCCAGTTTAGCAAAGGGGGGAAAAGTCCCAATACCTCATGTGATGCTGCAAGTTTGGCACCCCTGTTCTATGGTATTAATAGTATGAGTCACTAGAGTGCGTTCCTTACCTTACTGTGAAGTCATCAGAGACTTACAGGCATTTTGTAACTTTTATGACTTGCATTTGCAGGAGAGGCTATGATGAAAGCAGGTTTCGGGGTGAAGTACCATCTGTACGCTGACGACACCCAGCTGTACATCTCCACCCCGGACCACCCCAACGATGCCCTTGAAGTGATGTCCCAGTGCCTGGAGGCCGTACGGATCTGGATGGGGAGAAACGGGCTCAGGCTCAACCCATCCAAGACCGAGTGGCTGTGGTTTCCGACGTCCCGATATAGTCAGCTGGCGCCATCGCTGGCTATTGGGGGCGAATCATTGGCCCCCACGGAAAGGGCTCGTAACTTGGGCGTCCTCCTGGACTCACGGCTGTCTTTAGAAGAGTACTTGACGGCCGTGACCGGGAGGATTTTTCATCAGGTTCGCCTGATTCGCCAGTTGCGTCCCTTTCTAGACCGGGACTCGTTACGCACAGTCACTCATGCCGTCGTCACCTCTCGTCTGGACTATTGTAATGCTCTCTACATGGGGCTCCCCTTGAGGTGCACCCGGAGGCTCCAACTGGCGCAGAGTGCGGCCGCGCGGGTGGTTATGGGAGCAACATGGAGCTCCCATGTAACACCTCTCCTGTGCGAGCTGCACTGGCTCCCGGTGGTCTTCCGGGTGCGCTTCAAGGTTTTGGTTACCACCTTTAAAGCGCTCCATGGCTTAGGACCTGGTTATTTACGGGACCGCCTACTACCATCAACAGCCTCCCACCGACCAGTACACTCCCACAGAGAGGGGCTCCTCCAGGTGCCGTCGGCCAAACAATGTCGGCTGTCGGCCCCTAGGGGGAGAGCCTTCTCTGTGGGGGCACCGATGATCTGGAATGAGCTCCCCCCAGAGATACGGAGGATTCCGGATCTGCACACCTTCCGCCGCGAGTTGAAGACGCTTTTATTTCATCAAGCTGGCCTCGCCTAAATCTTCTCCCTTTTAAGTGTGAATTTTAAATTTTTAATGTATTTTAAAATTATGGGTATTTTAAATTATGGGTATTAATTCAGCCAAATTTATTTAATTCATTTTATTCGATTTTAAATTTTGTATATCTATGTGTTTTATTTCATGGCTGTGCACCGCCCTGAGTCCTTCGGGAGTAGGGCGGTATAGAAATTCAATAAAATAAATAAATAATCTTACTGGCATACAACTTTTGGCACTTTTCTGCATGCATCATGATGTTATCATTTGGGCTACATTTTGACAAAACATTGTGAATTTTGTTGATGATAATTTACAAATATGTTGAGCATACCTCGGCCTCAAATGAATTAACAAAACGAAATATACTGTTTTAGTGATAAATTATCTGTGTTACTTTGACACGCTGGTAAGAAACAATAGATAGATTTAGGAAAGGAACATGGCTTACTCATACCCTAATAGCTGTTGCAGTTACAGCTATTGTTAATTAACATACTGTAGATATACTGAACTTTGGACAAATCACCTCCATAAATATAATAAATTTCTTGTGCTAAAATTTGTGATGTGAAGTCTTCATACATTCAAAAATTAATAAAATACTAAATCAAATCATTAAAAAAAATAAATGAATGGAAACTTCTGCATAAAAGAGAATTGCTTCTAGCCCTTTGGATGATTTCAACTTTCATAGTAGGATAAATAGTGTGGATCTGATATTGAACATAACTGTTGCTATGCACTTTTCATAATGTCTTTACTGTTTTGTTACATTTGATCTTTTTGTTGAGTCTTTGTATCTGAAGAAATAAATTCTTGAAGCATTTTCCTTCCTGGTGAGAAAGGCCTGATATATGATGTCCTCTGGGTTTTTTTGGAAATAAATTTATACTGGGCAATTGCATGCATTTTTTTTGTTGTCACCTGATATCATAATCATGATTGGCATCACTTCCGTTGCTTTAAAAGTCTACAGAGTATACATGCATGTATATCTGAAACATGCCCAGCTGGTTTAGATATGATTTATATAGAAAGATAAGTACAGGAAACATCACAGTAGACATTTTCTCTTGAGTGTATGCATGATATGTACTGTAGGCTATACAAACTTTTCTACATTTTAATAATGAGTGGATGTAGAATTCAAGAGACTAAAGTTAGGTGTATGATCTGAAAGGAGGTTTTAAAAAATCAGTTTTTTAATATTATTGCTCTAGACTTTGTTATGTCTATATGCAACTTAATATATTTGTCTATGTTTAGAATAAGCGTTTAGAAGAAGTGAAGCGGCAAGAACAAGAACTTCTGGAAGCCCAGTCAATTCCACTGAGAAACTACTTAATGAAGCATGTGATGCCAACACTTATGCAGGGGTTGAATCAATGTTGCATGGTTAGGCCAGATGACCCGGTTGACTTTCTGGTAAGGGATTATCTATCTATCTATCTATCTATCTATCTATCTATCTATCTATCTATCCATCCATCCATCCATCCATCCATCCATCCATCCATCCATCCATCCATCCATCTTCCTATGTAGCAGACAAAAATAGTGTCCTTTTATTACTTATTTGTAAACCTTAGTCATTTCTTTTACAACTTATTTGTAGATCTTCTGGTTTGAGCAATACTGGCAAGTATTACTATAACTTTATAAGAAGCCTACAATACATCTATCAGTTACTCTATACAATCTACAGTCCCCCTTAGCACAATTCCTTCAAAAAAGGCTTGCTTTTTGAAATTGTATTTTATCCAGTGTAGAAAAACAAAAAAACATGTTGTACATCTAAGTCAACAATACCCCGTAAGATTTTCTAATTTGACCTCTTATTTCTATTCATCATGCTAAATACATCTAGTTACCCTATAACCAAGTGCCAAAATGGGAGCATGCACGCGGGGGGGGGGGGGGGGGTGCCAAAAACCGAAAGAGCAGTTCTCCCGTGCGCATGCGCTTGCCGGCTGAGCTTCCGGTTTCTGGTGCTCCTGTACGCGCGAAGACCAGCTGGCTGGCACGCATGTGCGCCCCAGAACCCGGAAGAGGAATGGGCGATGGCTGGCATGCCCGGAGAGATGGCTCTGCATCCCACTTCTGGCACGCGTGCCATAGGTTCCCCATCACAGCCCTATAAGTTGTTTTCTAACCATCAGGGATAGTCATTAGCATTTTTTACAGTCCTAAAGAGAGACTTTTGGTTGATTTTAGCTCTAGAGTCAGTCTTATTGGTATGCATAGAATATTGTTTCTCTTGTAGCAACATACAGTATTTTCCTCCCAGGTTTTACTATACACTTCAATTTGTAACTGCCTTCTACCATGGACAGTGCAATCCTATCTATTTAAAATTACATTCCCCTATGTAAAGGATTGTTTACTTCCAGGTACATATGGATAAGATTTCTATTTGGGGACACCAAATGAGCAGACATTAGCATATACAAGAAAATGACACATTGTAATACAGACTGGGCCCATTATCAGTAAAAAAATAAAAATGAAAAAGGGGGCTGAGACAAAATATTTAGTCTAATTTAGTTTATTAGGTGATTAACATAGAATGAGAAGGGAAGGGGAACAAGCTTATTCAGCTGTCATACAGTTTACAAACATTTCAGAAATTTTATCTTAAACATTAATTTGCATAACAATAGACCTTATCTTTCAGGGTTATAACACAGGTTATCTTGTTTTGAGATAGATCCTCCTTGGTATAATTTTATAGAGGTAGCTTTGGTTTGGACTTTGATTTTAATTAATAGGTCATCTCAATATGGTGGGTGATTTGGTTTATGCAAGTTTTCATCTGATTAATGGAACCTGAGCTCAACAATTTTCCAATATGCTGTCTGTCTCTGTTGATTACATTCTTCCTTGATTTGGATTCCAGATATACTGTACATTCACTTCCACATCTGAGGCACACTTTCATAATGGGATTGCCTATAGCAGGAATTGTACTGTGAATACCAAGCAGATGTTGCTATTATAGCTTTGGTTCAAGATACTAGCTAATCCTTCACCAATACCAGAGTTATCTAACAATAATTCAGTCCACTTTCATTAATTTTAGAAAATGCAATGCTATCTTTAACCTATAGAAACTGAACGTATCTTTTTACATGGATTTTTTTTTATCAACAGGCAGAATATCTCTTCAAGAATAATCCGGAATTTGACTAAGAAGTCTAAACAGTTGCCTTGTTATGCCTCATTAAATTTAATGTTAATGATTGTTGTGTAATACTCTTGTAAAATATACATTCACTAATTTTTTTTTAATAAAAAAAAATAAGAAATTAAGTTTGAGGATCTGTACATTTATCTAAAATGAATGATAATTTATAGAATATCTGATAAATTGCAGGAAGTTCCTTTAAAGCATTTAAAGAAAAAGCTTCAGAATTATTGTTCTTGGAAAAGTAACTATTTATGACAACATGTACTTAAGCTATGAAGTAAAGGAAAAGAAGAATATTGGTACTTGTTCAGTTGTACCAAAAGTCCTTTTACAATGCAGCCATATGGAAGTTTCTTCAAAGTTGTTTCTCTGCAATTAATTCAGTTATAGTGGCAGAATAGAATTATAGCTTTAAGGAATTTCTTCCATGACATAGCATCAATAAAGTATCCTTGAGGTAATGTAAAGCAATAATGAGATCATGCACTGCATCACCTCTGATAGCTGGGTGACACTATGAGGACTGAATGAAAAACAATACTTCCAATGGTACAAGTGACCAACAATTGACTGGCAAGCTAGAAGCTTTCACATCTCCTTTAGGATCTATTCTTTCACTTCAATTGTTGGAAAGTTTCTGTGAACAAAATGTATATTGTTATTGCTTGTGAAATGAAAGCTACTAAGTGTGTTTCAATGATTGAATTTTTGATTGCTAATGGAATGTTCCCCTACGCCCCTTGTGAAATTCACCACCAAATACAGGGTGTTTTGGTGATAACTGTGTTGATGTAAGTACTGAGTAGCTGGGCAAAAAAATGTGAAACAATGAACCAAGAAGAGTTGATTTCTAATATCAAAAACAAAGTGGACAACCTATCACAGCAACTGAGGACTTTTACATGAGAAAGGTTGCTGAACTGATTAAGGACAATTGATAAAGTCAAAGAAAATTGCTGTCAAGCTTGGCTTTTCACAGGAATCTATGGATCGTATTAATATTTTTCAGTAATGCCAGCCCTCTATTGTCAAAATTTAAGTTTTGGCAGGAAATGTTTATAGGCAGATCTCGCTTACTGACCATTCATTTAGCAACTATTTGAAGCTACAATGGCGCTATAAAAGGACACTTACAATTAATGTTCAAAGTTCCCACAGTTACATGATCACAATCTGGACTCTTGGCAACCAGCTTACACTTACAGCAGTCGCAACATCCTGCAGTCATGTGATCACCATTCCCTACCTTCTGCAAGCTTCCCACAAGCAAAGATAATGGGGAAACAGAGAGAGGTCACAAGTTACTCTGTTGAGCTGCTTGCACCCTTCCCCTGCCTAGCAGCACCATTCGGGGCAGTACTACACTTGTGTTGTGCCTTCCCTGCCTGCTGGCTAGGTACAAACAGCCTAGGACTCACTTTATGATGGCAATGGGGCATGCTAGGATTGTCATTAAGTGATGTGGTCACATGACATTGTGACCACATCACGCATTTCTTGGTGATGAAATTTCAATCCTAATTATTGTCATTAACTGCCTGTACATGTTTGTTGGGGGTGCAGATAATATTTATTCACATGATCTAAATCTGGCAAAACTATCATCCAAAGTGCTACTTTGAAACATCTGAAGGAAGGAAATGTTGCTGCATCTTGACAACACCAGGCCTCAATCCTAATGACATATCCAAGAGGAAACTGTAAAGTTAGATTTCACTGTCTTAACCCTATCTGTCATCTTAGGATTCATGTGATTCCTGTTCCTCTAGCGAAAGGAATACTTTAGTAAATATCTGTTTGATTCAAATGGATAAAAACGACTCTCAGGACCTGGTTGAAGACATAAAGCATGCATTTCTTTCATGATGGTCTTAAGAATGGTAACCATTACTGTATGTGGAGAAATTAACCCAGGTGACAAAAGGGCTCATAGTTTCAATTATTAACATAACCCTATTTAAACTGAAGTTACGGAGGTGGAAGCATTACATTACTTGGTTATGTATTCTTAGTCACTAATGGAGAAATGCCTTTAGCTTTGCATTGCCTTTAACACTGATTGACAAAGTGCCATTGGGAAGCTGTGTATTGAGAAAAACCAAAAACTGCTCATGCCAAGCATTTTAGACCAGCTGCAGCTACCGAATACACTTCAAGGGCAGTCCCATGCAGAATGTCTTAAAAGTAATCCAAATGTAATCACTTTATTAGCTTATTATGACTATGACATGAGTTGCTAGGATCGTAGTCCAAGAATGGTTGCAATTGGTGCACAAGGCAAACCTGTACAAAGACCCCTCCAGCCATGGCTGCCATCTACTCATCAGGCAGAAGCATGAGTCCAGGAGGACTCCCAAATGGCACACTCTCACTGGCGAAATGTACCTCCCAGCCAAAATTAAATGTGGGAAATCTCTGGTGTCAGGAAGGAGGATCAATATCCACAGCCAATCAGTCTAGCCAATGTTTTGAGCCAGAGTCCATTTCCCCCCATCCTGACCCTAACAGCTTCCAGGTGCTTCATCACTTGATCCTGGGTGGAGATACTGATAATACCACACCCACATGAACAGATGACTTTGTTAGCTGCTTCATTTAGATGTTAAATAGGAGTGCCAAGATAGTAGTCTGTCTCTCAAGGTAGAATTTGATCTCTCCTCCTACCAACACTGATTGGATTGAAATCCAAACAAAGGAGGAAATCCACTATAACACAGTACCTCCCAATTCTTTAAGATGGGCCAGAATGGTTCCATGGTCGATGCTATCCAAGATGATAGAAATCAAGGAAGGCAGGATGGATTCTACTGCCATATTGGGTCTGTTAGAGATAATCCACATTATCAATGCTGTCTCAGTTTATAACCAAGAACAATTCAGATAATTTGCTTCTTCCAGAACTGTATACCATCCACCTTCTCAGCTAGAGATTGGATGAAAATTGTCCAGATCTATTGGATACAAAACTGGTCATAGCAATCGTCTATTCACTGGGGCCGGGGCACAAGACATCTGTCTCCTTCAGGGCAGACAGGATCACCCCCTTCTACAGATAAACATTCACCATTACCTGACCCACCCATCACTTCCCAGAAGATTTTAATAGGTGATAGAAATCTAAAATACAGAAGACTGAACTCAAACCACTGACGACACTGTTGACTTCATCAGTGATAATTGGCTTGAACTCTTCCAGGATAACTGGGCCAAATTTTACCTTAGGCAACTCCAACAGACTGTATAGCCAGATTTTGAATCCAAGTGATTTCATACAACAGATGCCTAGATGGTTCTTATAGGGGACCTGCAAGCGTTCCTGTGAGCCATACTTACCACCCAGGAGGGAGTATAAGCCCACCACTTGGCACTCCATAGACACAATAAAGGCAGAAAAATGTTGCACTTCCCTTATTGCTCCATACTAAACTGAGTGTTCAGTCAGATTCACTCTTGATTCAAATCTGAAAATCTCATTTAGTTTCCACTGATAAGACTATTTTTTGGGAATCTGTTTCATCAAAAATAAGTAAAACTCACATAACTTCCTAAATAAATAGGAATCACACTTTGGATAACAAAGTTCATATTATGTGAGCTTTCGCACTGTTTGAATATTAAAAATACCTTATCATAAAGTGGAATACTTTATGAATCAATCATGTATAATACAAATATTCTAGCTTTTTTGGTAGTACGACCATCTTATTCAGATGGGACAATTAAGATTTATATAAAGAATTATCTGAGGATTTTAAATTTATTTTGTTGATAGTTTAAGATGTCTTTATACTGTCAAAAATCCTGATTTCAAATTCATCACCATTTTGGTGATTCATCACTATTCAATACTTGTACTTAGAATGGGACAATCTGAATGAGTTCAGATTTACCCTAGAAAATAGGATTAAAAACATGCAGCTCTCCTTATACTATTGATCTACAGTACAGATCCCAGAATTTTCTACCAGCAGCTATGATGAGACTTTGAGGTTCAGACTTTCAAGCAATATTTTTTTCCAGTCTTATCTGGTGAAACATAAGATCTATACACCAAACATTCTGCTCTAATATTGAACTACAGCCTTTGGCACACATTTCAAATATGACTGTATGCCTCTCTAACTCATCCTTTTATCTTATCCTCAGGATATAATGATGATGATGATGTTATCCATTCAGTCGTCTCCAACTCTTGGCGATTCAATGGGCCAGGTCTCACCACATCTTCTGATCCTTCAGGATATTGTCAAATATAAGTATTTCATTTGGGCATTATGGGCAATAATTATTAGATATTTTGATTTTTTAAAGAAAATCTTGGCTTCTGTATACTTAAATAGTCTGCTTTTATTCTTCTATTTGGGCAGCTTATGAATGAAACCTTCCCCTTCCTTAATTACACAAAACTGGGTTCAAAAATACTAAGCCATGATTTGTTTGGTTTTAACTTAGTATGTTGCATAAATACCTCTACTAATATCTATTGCACAGCTTGATTCCAATTCTAGCTTATTCACAAACCATGGATAATAAAATAATGGCTCAAATATATATGAACCAAAGAAAAGAGGTAATTAACAAACGACAAATTATACAACATTCTAAGGAAAAACAGATTACTATAAAGTGCAAGCTTTACCTCTAAGTGTAAATGGGAGATTTCTCTTTCAATCTCCTCCCGTCGCCCCTTTGACAAATCATAAAGGAAAAAAGAATTATCCCTATACATAAACACCTCTCGCAACACCAATCAAGACGACTAACTTCCATGCCTTTCCGCGGCGCATGCTCAGTCAGTGCAGGAACCGTTATCATTAAACTTTAATTCGTTCCAACTTCAAACGCTCGAATCGCCTGGAGGACTACATTACCCACACACCATTGTAAAGCGGCGACAGTCAAGCGCATTACCCGGAGCCCTCTTTCGTCACTTGACGCAGAGGGTTGGGAAACGCCGTTGCGTCAGCACGTTCTACTGGCCTCTGCACCGCGGCCCCTCCTTCTCTTCCCCATCTCCAGAACGTTGCTGTGGTAGCGCCTCGGCGCCATGTTAGGAGGCCGGAGGGGAAGAGGAAGAATTAGAAGCGGCGGCAGCAACAACAGCAGCAACTAGCAGGCCTAGTGAGAGGTTCTTCACCCTCTCTGAGAGGGCCCCAGCCAGGCCCATATCATGCTCACGGGGCCCGTTTTTCAGGGGCGGAAAGAGTGACTGTTCCGGAGAAGAAGAGACGGCGTTTAACCATAGCCGGAGAGACGATGCCGTTGTAAGTTGAGGGCCGCCAAAGGAGGGAGAGGGACTGTCTCGGGCATACCCGTGAGGCCTGGCAGGAGCCTTGGGAGGCAACCTGAGTGAGCGCTTCCGGGCCGTGGCGAGTTCGCGGCCATTTGCCCGGCCGGCCGGCTTTCTTCTCATGTCCACCTTTCAGCCCCCCCTTTGCTGGCGAACTCACGCCGGGCCCCCTTTTTCCACGTTATTAGGCCGGACAGCGTCTTTCCTCAGCCGAATCCATTTCTTCTCGCCCGGAGATGGAATCGGGCCGGGAGTCTCATTGAATAGCTCTTCCCCCCCCCCCTTCTCCCTCTTGCGACTTTAACCGAACAACTTTGGGGAGTCGGGGGATGGCGCTTCCGTAGTCCCTGGCCGAGCTTCACCAAAAGCCGTTCCCCGCGCCGTTGGTGGCACTCAAGTGGCGGGTTTTTTGCCCCCCGCTCACGTGATGCCTAAAGCCTCTGTGGGGCCTGGCGGGAGGAGGAGGAGGAGGAGGGCGTCTGGGTACAAAGCTCTTGGGCGGCTTGGTTGGTCTGGTGGAGACCCGGAGGTTCCGTGCATCCATGCTGCCTTGGCTGGAATCGGCGGCTTGGTGCAACTCCGCGGGTGCTTGGCACCATCGCCGCCGCCGCCGCTGCTTAATGAAAGTTGCTCGCGGGTTGCAACCCATCCGCCTCCCCTAATGCAAGAGGCATCCAGCGAGGGAGATTTTAATTTGATCTCTTTTAAGGAACGTTCTCTTACAGCTTTTCCTAACATGAATTGTATGTGGTCGCGATGAAGGGCGAACTTATTCCTTACCCCTCCTCTTTTCTCGCTTGCTTCTGTTTTGTCATTGGCGTAGTATGGCCTCCACACACCCCCAGCCCATTGTGATATTCGTAATGTTTTGGTACGTTCAGGACTATTAAGATTTGAAAGCGCAACAGCTTAAATGAGTTGATTGATGTGAGAATTTTCTAAGCCCGCTTTTTAAAAACAGTTTCCAAGCATGAATACTTTTGCATTCTAATTGTATTACTGAATCATATAGGATTACTTTGCTATATATCTTCCGTAGATATAGATGTATAAACTGTTATAGTCATTTATGCTTGTTAGAGCCTGTGTTAAAATAGCATCAGGAAACAATTGTTAAGATTTTTTGTGAATACTTTGCAATAATTTAAATTGCAGTTGCAGTTTAAATTCAGTATTTCGGACTGAATTTCAAAAAGGAGCATTGGAATGCCTGTGGTTGAGCACCTGTATGCATCTTCTTGAGGCAGCTTTAAGTTGCTGCAGATAAATGCTATGCTTGGATCCCTGTGCACGCCAAAGCATCTTTTTAGAAGCAAATTCAGAAGACTTGAGTTAAGGAAAGTATCACAGTTCTGACTAAAAGTCTCTTAGGTTTACTGAAAATTTAACTGAAATTAACTTGCTCTGTAAAGGTGCAGTAATTTATTAATATCATTTCTTTTTCTTACTGAGCATTCTAAAAGTTTCTACTTTTCCAAGTATAAAAGAGGATATAACAAATAATAATAATTTGTGAAATATACCAGAGCTGAAATATAACATGCTCTATAACATGAACTATTCATTCATGGCCATTGTGTCAATTAAAAAGGAAATGATTGTGAGCCACAGGTTACAGGTCACAATTTCTGTTGGTTTTTATCATTGTCGTATTTATATTGGCAGGTTGGCTAATACTTTCTGTATCTTTTGGTAAGTTTTGGAAAATTTTGTTTAGGCTAATGGGCCAATCATGGTTCCATATGAAATGGGATAACTGAAATATTTCCCAGTGTCACTCAGGATAGCAGAGATGCTGCAGTTGGAATGGCCCTATATGGGGGCTGCTTCTTTCCCATCTCTTTGCCTGGATGGCAGAAGGAGAAATTACTTACAGTGAACCTCCACCTCTGTGGTTTGGGTTACATACAATGCTTCCATTCAATCATATAGGGTATGTGGTTGTAGGAGGAAAAATCCGGTCCAGTCCAAGTCAGGAGAAAGGTGCTGGAAATAAAATGGAGGTTGATTGGAAAGGACTGTTGATTGATGAGCAGAACCAACAACAGCATGTAGTGCTGGGAAAGCTGACAAATTGGTTTGATAAGTACATGGATTTTTATAGGGTTCTGAGATGCTGCAATGGGTTGTGCAATGTAGTGAGCCTGGTATCTTTTGCTATTGTAATGGTGGTGGGTTAATCCTATTATGCCCTAAAGGTCATGTCCTGTTCTTAGAATTTGGGTGGATGGGATGTAAATTCTTAATCCCATCATCTGGACCTAAAGATGTTGTGTTTGTGAATAGGCTGGCCTAGATTTCTTAATGGGCACAAAATATCCATCTCTAAAGACTTCAGGCATCTGTTGGGGCTGCTTTCTGCTTTTGTTAAGATTTTTCTCAAATGGGAAAATATATTCTGCCTCTCTTAATATTCCCCAAAATATTTCATTCTCTGGGGAGGTGGGTGATTACTTCTTACCTGGTTATTCTCTAGTAAATGGGAAATTTAGCTCAATAACTGGAGATAATGAATATTTTGCTCATGTTCTTTATCAAATTTATTTGCTGCCCATGTCACAGTTAACTCTTTACATGAGACATGGGCATCCCAAAGATGCTTTTACAAAAAGAAACTGAACTTCCTTTTTTTTCTTTGAAGGACTTTTGTTTCTCATCCAAGAAGCTTCTTCAGCTCTGACTGGATGGTGAGGAATGGAAGGATTTATACTCTTTGCTTGCAGACAGCTGGTCATTTGTATTCTTTTAGTGAGTCCTTAAGATCACCTGGAAGTTTATGTCATCAGGTCACCTGAGTAGTGCAAATGGATGTGGAACCTTCCTGGAACTGCTGAAAGGCTGTTGTAGACAGATGATGCCCTATCCCTTCCCTCCTGTTGAGAGAGGGCTGTTAAATTTTGACATAGGTGGCCTTTTTAACCCCTCTTTCAAACCAGCAGTCCTCTCTGTCCAAAATGTGAACTTGGCTGGTTCAAAAGAATGGCCTTTGTCTTTTAAATGCAGATGGACTCTGAATCTAGTCCTGATGGGTTTGTTCTCCTATGTTGTCCCATGCACTTATGAAGTGGTTGTTTTGTTTCCCCAATGCGCAGCTCTGCACATTGCTCACTGCATTGTCCTGCATATACCATGTTGCTCAGTTTGTGTCTGGATGTTTTATCCTTAGGGTGGACAAGTTTCTGCTTTAGTGTATTCTTGGGTTTGAAGTGTGCACGTGTGTTGTGTTGGCTGAAGATCTTCCTGAGCTTTTCCGATATTCCTGCAACTTATGGAATGAGTTTATTCCATAATTCGTTTATTGTTCTCATTGTCTGTTATGGAGGAGCTCCTGTAGGGTCTTTTTTGAGATTTGATGAAGGCCCACTTAGGATAGCCATACATTCTGAGGGCTTTTTTTGATGTGTTTTGTTCTTTTTCTTTCCCATCTTTGCTGGTAGGCAGGCCTTCAACTCAGTGGTGTAGGGTTCTGATGACTCCCATTTTATGCTCCAGTGGATGGTGGGAATCAAAATGTAAACATTGATTTGTGTGTAGTGGTTTTCTGTAAACTTCAATGTAAAGTGACCTGGGCATTTTATGACCTATGGCAGGGGTCTGCAACCTTAAATACTCAGAGTCATTTGGACCCGGTTCCCACAAAAAAGAAAACACTGGGAGCCACAAAACCTGGGTGGGCGTGGCCAATCCAACGTCACTCCCACCCAGTCATATGACCATCACCCCCAGCCACATCTACCCGGGTTTTGTGGCTCTGGGTGTTTTCTATGGGAAATGGGTCTCTCTCTCTCTGTCTCCATCCCTCCCTCCCTCTTGTTTTTCTCTTTTTCCTCTCCCTCCCTCCCTCTCTTTCTTTCTTTCTCTCTCTCCCCTTCTCTCTCTTGTTTCCCTCGTTTCCCTCTCATTCTCTCCTTCCAGCTCTCATTTCTGTATCCCTCTCTCCCCCTTCTCTCTCTCTCATTTGTTTCTCTTTTTCTTCTCTCTCTCATTGTCCCATCCATCATTTTCTCATTTCTTTCTTTTCCCCCTTTTTTCTCATCTCTCTATTTCTCTTTCCCTTCCTCTCTCTTTCTCCCCCTCTCTTGTATGTGTTTGTGTGTTCCCTCTTGAACCAATTCTAAAAACAGGCGAGAGTTGGGTTTTTTTTCTTTGCTGATGTTCTTCTTTGGGTGCTTTTTACCATTTGATTTAAATCAAGAGTCATTTTAGGTTCCCATATAAAGGAAGCTCTTTTGTCCCTCTGCTGTGGCTGTCTGTATGCTGGCTAGCCCCAACCCTTGCCCTCCCAGTCACTCCTTGCATGACCTGAGAAGGTAAGGGTAATGGCAGGGATGGAGACTCACTCCATATTCCAGAGCGGGACGGAAGCGCCCGTGTACTTGCCTCTCATCTTGCGGGCGCTTCTTGGTGCTGCATGCACTTCAGTCGCTCAGGGAGATGCACACCTTTCTCTCCGCCCCGAGACACTGGCCTGGCCCGGCTGCAGCCGATACTCTGCATCATAATATGCTTCAGGAGGAGGAAGAGACGCTGTCTTCCCCATGGTGAAGCATGCTAAAATTTAAGTGTGCTGCGCAAGGCATTGCGAGAGCAGTGAGCAGGTCATGGAGGTGACGAGCAAGTTGCATGTCTAGAGTACTGGCCTGGCCATGGCTTGCTCGCTGCTCTCGCTGCGCCTTGCACAGCACACTTAAATTTAGCACGCTTTACCATGGGGAAGATGGCGTCCCCTCCTCCTCCTGGAGCACATTATGACGTGGATCATTGGCCACAGCCGAGCCGGGCCAATGTCTCGGGGTGGAGGGAAAGGTGCCCATCTCCCTGAGTGACCGAAGGTGTGCGCCGGAAGAAGCGCCGGCGAGATGAGATGGAGCGAGTTCATCCCCGCCATCACCCTTACCTTCTCAGGCCACGTGAGGAGCGACTGGGAGGGTGAGAGGCAGGGCCAGCCAGCTGGCAGGGAGCCACAGCAGGGGGATGAAAGAGCCATGTTGCCGACACCCGACCTATGGGCTGTGCATGGTCCCTGTCCAGTTTACGGAATCAGAGTTGGGCAGGGTGGTGGCAGCATTGCGAGTGGGGGGTAGCAGAGGCAGTGTTCCACAACAGTCTGTTTCTCATGTGGCTCCTTGGGAAAATTAATTGCCCAGCTCTGTTTTACATGAATAAGCAATTAAACTAGAAAACTTTGTTTGGGGTTTCATTTTTCCTATTGAAGCTTCTCTAAATTCATCTAGGTCGGAGAATGGCTGTTTCTTAAAGTAGAGCCCTGCATTTGGTACTGAAGGTCTTCTTTCACTAACTCAAATTTTGTTATCCTAGTTACTGTGGGAGAGAAAAAAATATGTCTTGAAATTTCAGCCCTGGCTTACCTTGATGTACAGAGAACACAATGCTTCATAACTTTTTTGTAGCCTTTTTAACTAGAATTTAAACTCCAGATCTATCTGTTCCAAGTTTGGGAATCCTACAGTTCTTTGGTATATCAAAAGCTATTGCCATACTAGAAGTAACAATCTGGCAGTTGAGGCCTTCTGGGTAATAGCCATAACACATAACGCCCCCCTTATTTATTTATTAGATTTATATGTTTCTCTTAATTTTATACAGCTTCAGTCAATGCACGTTTTTATTTTTTCCACCACAATAACCTTGAGTTGTGGGTTGGATTTAGAGTGTGATTGCTCCAAGATCACCCAATTTGCTTCCATGCTTAAGAGAGTACTCACCATTATATTCTCCATTACTTCTAATTATAAACAATAAATTATTTTTGTCTCAAGTTTACATAACCAGTGGATAGGTGTTTACTTAGACATTTATTCTAAATTTAACAGAAAACTATTCTTTATAATGCACAAGTTCTGTGAATTTCTTTTAAAATATGAAATCTTATTTATGAAATATGTTAGATCGAGATGTATCATGGGTTGAACTTTTTCTTAATGCTTGTGCTATTTGATCAACAGCAATCACTTCCATTTTGATATTACTTTACTTTTTACTTTTATTATATTTATATACCGCCCTTCTCCCGAAGGACTCAGGGCGGTGAACAGCCATGGTAAAAACAGTATACAAGACAAAAAATTTAAAAACTTATTAAAATAATTCAATCACTGGCCAAATTTAAAACACCCAGCTAAAATCGTTATTTAAAACCCCTATCAAAACCCAATTAAAATCCTTTATCCCATCAGACCGGCTTGCTGGAATAATAGGGTCTTCAGAGCATGACGGAAGGATCCCCAACCTATGTCCGGGGGCAATTCATTCCATAGGGCCGGGGCCTCCACAGAGAAGGCTCTCCCCCTGGGGGTCACCATCCTAAGATATTCCAAAATAGTGTTTCTGGCAATGGCAGATTTGAGTGTGAAGTTTCCGAAAGAAACTTTGGCCAGGTGGGCTAGCATGTCTTTCATGAGGGGAAGGGGATATAAGTTGTGTACGCAGACAGCGTTCAACTGCCCCCTAGGGAGTTTCCAATTTAAGGTGATGCCATTTGGACTGCAGGGAGCCCCGGCGGTGTTCATGACAGAAACCAAATAAAATAACATACAGGTGTCTGGGTTACTAAAGTACTATATTTGGAACTGAGTTTGCAATTGTTAACTAATGCATTTGTAAAGAGCAATGTCACATAACCACATCACTTAGCAATGACAATCCCAGTAGTCCCAGTTGCTGTTGTAACTTAAGATTTGCAGGTTGTTAAAAGTACCAGAGAAAGCAGGGAAAGTTCCCAGGGTTGGGAAAGGCCTTGGGAGAGCTAGCTGTGTGTGAGTTAGGGAAGTGCTTGGACAGGCTGCATGCGAACACTGGAAAGCTGGGGGGTGGATGACACGCAACCGCAGGAAGCCTTGGGGCACTTACCAGAGTGACTTATGTCTTTCCCTGCCTGTTTTCCCATTTACTGCTTGTGGAAAGTTGGCAGGCAAGGTCACAAATGGCAACCAGTCACTGAACAAGTGATCAGTAAGCAAGGATTATCTGTGTAAAGCAGCTACAACTTTTAAACTATCCATGACATTGAGATCTCAACTACATTAAATATCACTATAGCAGGAATAATTGAATAGGATTCAACACAGTGTTTTAAGATTGACAGATAATGGAAAGAATAAATTGAGTGGCAAATGAAACAACATTAATTACTATTTCTTAGCTAGTTCATTCTTGTACGTTATTTTCCCTCCAAAACCATTTCATTAACAGGTATCAATTTGTAAGCATGTAAAGTTTGTGGGTATATATCTGTAAGAGAGATTCTAACAGATTCCAATGGCTTAAGTTTCCAACTTGTGGATGATAAAATATTGTGCCTTTCTCCCTGTTTCCCCCAAAGCTGCTTCTGAGACTGTATGGAGTCTATGGAAGAGAAATCAGCCAAGGGATTGATAGATCTCATGGGTCACAGGTTGGAAACCATTGAAATAAAATACCCATCTCCAAGTCTTAAACTGGTTATAAATGGTATGAACTTGGGTCAGAATATGATATAGTATCCAGCTGGATACAATCAGAATGGCATGATGATTAGGGTGATTAAAAAAACTCACAGTAGGACGTGTTTATATTAACATTAATCTGTTTGATAAGATGTTATTGAGTAAAGAATTGGACCAATACTAATAGCAATTATTGTAGAGGGTGTGCTCTGGCAGTATGCTTAAAATTTGAAGTTATTCAAAGCTAATTTTGGAATATTCATCCTTAGTGTCTTATTTATGTTGTTTGGCATGTTTATTAAATATACTTAAATCTTTTTTGAAAACAGAAGATCAAATAAACTGTAGTTTCTTTCTGAAACTACACATTTAGTCGTTATTTTAACTGGCTTGGAAATTAAGAATGTATGGGTCATTCTGTATTTGGTCAGTTTCAGTTTTGCATGCATTATGTTTTGTATGATTTGGTTTGGTTTGGGTCTTTGTTTTTGTTTTTTTGTGCCTTCCAGTCAATATTGAGTCTTGGCAACTGCTTAAACTAATCCCTTCAGTTTCCCATCAAGATTTTTGGAAGTGGTGTGCCATTCATTGTCTCCTTCCTGTGACTGAAAATGAATAACTCACTGATGTCACCCAGCTGACTTTGTACCTAAGGCAGGACTAGAACACATGGTCTCCTTCTTACTATCTGGGTGCCTTAAACACTAAACTGATGTGTATTATGCTATTATTCTGGAAAATTTGGTAATATTTCATGAATTTTGTTTTTATTTTTTGTTGTCCATCATCCTAATACATGGCTGTATCCAGTTGCTAAATTAAGAACTGCCACACAACACTCAGAATTGCAAAATTTGAAAAAAAAATGTTTGGAAATACTAAATTATATCACATTACTTAAAAACGCTGATCAACTATTGTGCTAATTCCACCATCTATACTGAGAACTAGGAAAAAAGAACTGTGGCCTAATTAGTTTCAGACTTCTCATAAACTTTTGGAGGAAACATTAGAACGAAAAGAAAATAGAAGTCAGTAGATACGTTGTTAATCACACTGAAAGTGTTTGATTCCCCAAAATGTTTTCATTTACAAAATGAAGTCAACAGTACAGTTTCGGCATATTTCCAGACTATTAAATCTCAAATGAATTGCAACCCTTCTGTATATGTTTTAGCTTCCAGTTCTCTAATCATCTTTGTTGCTCTTCTCTGCACTCTTAAGTCTCAACACCTTTTTTTTCGTATTGTGGTGACCAAAACTGGATGCAGTATTCCAAGTGTGCTCTTGCCGAAGTATTATAAAGTGGTACTAACACTTCCTGTGATCATGATTCTATCCCTCTGTTGATGTAGCTTAGGACTATGCTGCCTTTTTTTGGCAGCTGAAGCACGCTGCTGGCTCATATTTAAGTAGTTGTTCCCTAGGACTTCTAGATCCCTCTCACAGTTATTGCCATTGAGCCAGGTACCACCTATTCCAGCTATGACTAACTTTTTCCAGACCGAGTGCCCAAAGTGTGCATGCACATGTGCGTGCGCAAACCTTCAAATGCAATGCACACGCCATGCATGCGCGCCACCCCATGTACACCCCTGCACATGTGCGCACACACTCATGTGCGCCCTGCCCCCCACGCATGCACGTCAGGGACCCGAAGACCAGCTGGCCGGTGGGAGGCACACACGCATGTGCGGCGGAGTTGACCTGGGGCAACAGCTTGCGTGCCCACAGAGAGGGCGTTGCCTGCCACCTCTGGCACACGTGCCATAGGTTCGCCATCACGGACTTATTCTATACTTGTGCATTTGGCTTTTCTTGCCTAAATGTAAAACCTTACTTTTCTTACCACTGAATTGTGTTTTGTTGGATAGTGTTCAAGTCTGTTGAAATCCTTCTGGATTTTGAGTCTATCTTGTAAAGCATTGGCTATTCCCGCCAGCTTGTTGATTGCAAATTTTATTTCTTCATCTAAATTGTTTATGAAGATGTCGAAAAGTATTGGGGCTAAGATTAAACCTTGAGGTATCCCATTACATGCTTGCCACCATGTAGACATACTTCCATTAAGGACTACACGTTGAGTGTGGTTTATTGGTTTATTTTGGTGTTATCATATGTTAATAATTTTCTTTAAGAAAACAAGAGTTTATAATGAACTAGATGAAATAAGTTACCGAATATAGTAGTGGTTTCATGTGTAATAGTATGTTTATTTAATAACTGTTTACAAATTTATAAATAAATATTTCATTAAATAACTGTTTACAAATTTCTAGCTTTCTTCAGTTTATTTTTTTGAGTACAATAACTACTTATTAAAATGTTATTTATTTTAATTTTGTTTTGTTTGCATGCAGTCCAGTTACAACCCAGGGATCACAACAAACACAACAGCCGCAGAAACATTATGGCATTACCTCACCAATCAGTTTAGCTTCCCCTAAGGAGAATGACTGTATACTTACCCAGAAGCTAATTGAAACCCTAAAACCCTTTGGTGTCTTTGAAGAGGAGGAAGAACTGCAACGCAGGTGAATACAACTTTTTAGTTTTCTTGTGTGAAATATTCTCAGGAAAAATGAAAATTCATAATGAAAGCAACACACCCATGTTTCCCGGAAAATAAGACCCTGTCTTATATTTTTTTTTGAACCCCAAAATAAGTGCTTGGCCTTATTTTCAGGGATGTCTTATTATTTTGGGAGGCGGGGAGCAAAACGGGGCTCCTCTTAACTGGTTAGGGTTAGGGAGACAGCTCTGTCTTCCTAACCCTAACCAGAGGAAATGGCAGGGACCTGCTGCACATGCGTTTAAATATTTAAATATTTTTGGAGAGGGCTTATTTTTTTGGGGGGCGGGGGTTAGTGCATGTGCTCAAAAGCCCGATTGGGCTTATTATCAGGGGATGTCTTATTTTAGGGAAAACCGGGTAGAACAAAAATGTTCTTCTAATTGTCTCGGGCTCCAGTTGTTGAAAATTTAAATTTCTGAACGACATCTCAGTACTGTTTTTATATTTTAAAAAGTTTACATTTGTAAAACTTTCATTCATAGTTTGATTCTCATTTTGTAATATAGTTGTTCCTATCATATAGGCATTTTCTGGTCATGTTTATCACAACATATAGGAATGAAATGGGAATTATATCTATTGCAGTTTTTCAGCACAAAGTTATAGTAAAATATATGCTGAATTGTTAGGAAATGGGAGTATTTTTTGTGTATTACCTTTCAAGTGTAATGTTATTTAATATTTAAACACTTTTTTTAACATGTGGAAGTCCTAAAATAAGCCTAGCAAATAAAAACATCAAATACAGAAAAATTGTAATGATGATGATATAACATTAGCAAGTTATGTAGATGTAATAATTATATATTTCATCAACAGAATTCTAATTTTGGGAAAGTTAAATAACTTAGTAAAGGAATGGATACGAGAAATCAGTGAAATTAAGGTATGAATATTTTGATTCATTTAAAAATAACAAACTTAAAAAGATCATCACATGTATTATGGTGTAAATGTGTAGGTGATAACGCCATCAGATGTATAAAAGATACATTGAGAGGAATATTACATATTCATAGTTTTAGTACGAATGAAGCAGGGAATAGTAAAAAGTTTCAAGGAGAAAAAAGTAGACTTTCAGACATTTGTCCTTGCAGATTTAATTAAAAACTTGTTTATTTAGTCTCTTACAAGTCTTATCATCTCCAGTAGACAGAGATTATGGATTCCCTAAAATGAAAGTAAGGAAAAGTGATTGAACTTTGTAATGATTTTCTTTGCAATTCTCAATTAGTTACATTTCTCTTGTTGTGATCTTACAGTGCACTATTTCAACAAATGGATTGTCAGTATATAAGGAAACAACTTTTTACAACTTTTAATTAGATACATTAAATGTATAGTTCATGTTGAACTATACTTAGTATTTCAGTGTAGTTCTGTTGAGCTAGAGCAGTGTTTCCCAAACTTGACCCTTTGAAGATATATGGACTTTAACTCCCAGAATTCTTCAACCAGGCATACTGGTTGGGGAATTCTGGGAATTGAAGTCCATGCATCTTAAAATAGCCAAGTTTGGGAAACACTGAGCTAGAGAAAGACATAATTGGTAGGATTTTATTATATATAGATGAATTTGTTCTATATGTCTGAGCAATAAGCTACTAATCGGAGCTCAGGATACATGATAGCTATTGTGCTGTCTATATGATAGCTAGCTTCTCTTCTTTATCTTTCAATATTGTATTGGCTGCATGGTTTACAAAATTGAAAAAAAAAAACTCATATTTTTTATTTCTTCAGAATCTTCCACAATCTGTAATAGAAAACGTTGGTGGGAAAATTTTTACATTTGGCTCATATCGATTAGGCGTGCACACAAAAGGTAATTTATCATGGGTTAGTGGATGGATGGATGGACAGACAGATCTGTGTTCAGTTACAAAAAAAATAGTACAACATCTTGGACATTTACACATCTTTCACAAGAATTTTGTTGGAAGTAAAATTAGCAGAAGCTTTCCCACTTGTGACAAGTAAATGTTCAGATGCATTTACTTGTTTACCTGAGGCAGCAAAGGAAAGGCCCTTTGCTGCCTCAGGTAGTGTCATCTGGTTACTTCTTCTAAACTGATCTTGGCTGTTAGAGAAGATTAGGCAGAAAATTTTTCATGGGGCCACTGTGTGATGTAAGCCCTATAATGTTAACAATTCCTATTTCAATTAAGTCAACTAAAACTTTTCTGTTCAACTCAAATCTCTGTGATTATGTCTTACAATGAAGTATACAGTAGTTTTTAGTCTTTGATATTTTTACCATCAGAACAATGAAGAATGTTGCACCTATTGTAAAGATGATGCATTCTTCAAAAATCAGCATGGGTATCCTTCCATGTCTTGGTGATAGTTATATACTTCGTAGTCTCTATTTATGTATTACTATTTGTGTTTTGGAGATTTCTCAAGGATTTCTCATAATCAAAGAGATCTTCTATTTCCATCTTTAAAATCTACAAGAAGATTCCCAAAAGTTGAGCCCTTCTTCCTTTGATGTCAGTGCAGCAGTCTGTGATCAGCTTTTCACACTTTCAGTGAAAAGTAGCCCTAATCTGTTAGTTCTGCCCAGTTAGTTCTATGTAAGTGAATAGAACCTAACATTAAATTATATAAATTTATACACTTCATTAATTTAAAAACATACTCTGTTTAAAATACTATGTATTTGAAGAATGAAAAATATATGTCTTATTTTAGTTAAATACTTCCAATCAATGGGAATGTATCTATTTCTATTTGGGCTATGTGGTATGCATATTATGAAACATTTGTTTAAATGTTGAATTAAAAATAACAGTTCTTCACTAAGAAGAAATAAGGTGCAAAATTATAGAGAATCTTAAATTTCATGTTTTGAATTGGTTATTCTAACTTAAATTTGGGGAAATTAGAAATGTAACTGACAATTAGATTATTCGGGGTGATTGTAAATGGCAGATTTGAAAGTATGCATTCAAATTAACAAGAAAATCATGGTGAATATTGTCCAATGTATTTGAATATATTACACTAGAGAATATTACTATTGAAAATAGATATTTCAGCCTTGATACTTTTGCAGTTTATGTGATATTTAACAGTTTATGTTTGCTTGTTTTAGGTGCAGATATTGATGCATTATGTGTGGCGCCGAGGCATGTTGACAGGAGTGATTTTTTCACCTCATTTTATGAAAAACTGAAATTACAGGAAGAGGTCAAAGACTTACGGGTATGCAGATTCTCTTTTAATTTATAAACTTTATAAATCCAAACCAAACAATACAAAAAGTTGATTCTGTAGTGCATGATGAAGCAATGCTAGTTTTGCAATATCCTCCAATAGTGCTGTTCTGTTTCTATTACAATTGCTTAATTGTTTTGTTGATATTTATTATAGAATTAGATATAGTAGGATCAAAACCAATCTTATCCATCTTTTTAGTCCTTGATTTGGGCCACAGTTGGGACCAAAATTCCCATCACTAAGTGATGCAGTCATAAAGTGTGACATCATGTGACTGCATCACTTAGCGGCAATTCTAATGGCTCCCTATTGCTTTTGTGAAGTTAATTCCACCAATTGTTAGCTAAGGACCCACCCCAAGCCATTCTGGGTTTAGTCCTTCTCAGCCTTGAGCCTTAGTAAGGGACTGCCTCCAACTCCCCCCCCCCCAACCTGTCTATCTTTCTTACATTTCTGCCCTTTTGGCTGCTCTGAACCCTACCTTGTGGTGCAGCAAGTGGTCACAGACTTCATGGCTCTGGGGTTGCTTGCCACACTTTGGTTCAATGGCTTCTTGATGCACTGAGGTTCTGGGGATGCAAGAAGCCTCTGAGCCATACCATAGCATAATGCAAAAACATAGTTGTCCCTGAAAGTTCGCCTGTCACAATCCAGCCCAGCAATATGATGCAAAGTTGCCATGTCTTGGGAAGGCTCAGTAACATGGTGCAGATCTGCCATACCCCAGGAACCAAGCAGCACAAAGTTACTGTGTCCTGGGAAGCCCCAGTTGCTGCAGCCGAGTCCTTTGCTACCCTGTGCTTCAAGAACCTTGCTGCCCTGCACTTCATAGCTCCAGCTGACCTTTTCCATTTTGCACTTGCTGCTGACAATGTATGTCCACCCAGGCTCTTCACAAGGAAATCATGTGAGCCCATCTTCCCCAGGTCTCCTGAGGAAACTGCCATGGGTGATCTTTGGAAGAAAGCCTTATGTGGTCAGCAGTTACCTCCTAAAGGACCAGGCTAGGCATAATTGGTCAGCAGCCAGAGCAGGAAGATGGTAAAAGTCATATAGGGCATCAGGGGCCACAGAGTGCAGGGGACAAAAAGGGCATAGATGGGAAAGAGATAGGCAGAAGAGGAGAGTTGAAGCACCACTGTGGTCCTAAGGGTGGTCAGGTATCTAAATTTTGAACGTGACTGCGGAGGTACTGCAACAGTCATAACTTTGGAGACTGGTTGTAAGTCCCTTCAGCAGTGTCATAACTTGAACGGTCACTGAACAAAGGATTGTAAGTCTAGGACAATCTGTAGCTTTGTTTCTGCATAGAATGAATAATTCTCATTGCAAAATGCTTATTTTTCAGGCTGTTGAAGAAGCATTTGTTCCTGTTATTAAATTGTGTTTTGATGGAATAGAGGTAAATGAAATATTTTTTCTTATATATGTTATATGTTACACATCTGCTCTTTAGAAAAGAATAAAGTCACACTTGCCTGTTCTCAAAGGAGTCCACAATTCTCCCAGTTTAGAGGAATCATTGTATTAGAAGACAAGACCTAGGTCTCAAGGAACCAGAACCTTCCACTGTTATGGATCTCATAATAGGCCCATTGATGGGAGAGGTGTTACTAGTAGCTAATCATCCCAATTCCTTTTTTTGTTTTCTAAGACCTTTAACAAAGTCTTCAAGACAGAAAGAGGGACCTTAGCCTCCCAACTACATATTGTCACAAGAAGTTTTAGTTTTTTGTAAGATTCCTATGGATGGAGCTTCTATAGGGCAGAGTACATTGTGGCTACAGTTATAAGAATCTATCTGTCCATCCATCCAATTTATATGGCTGGCCATCGGTCCAAGAAATTCTGGACAGCAAAGAAACAAAAGCAGAGAATTATATTAAAACAACGCCAATTAAAACTGCATCAAGATTCATTAAAAACAAACTATTGGATATATACAATCATACCGAATCTCCCAAACTAACATCTTGTTCCTAATGCCCAGATTTTTATGGCCTTACAAATGTATTTGAAGAAGGGAGCTGTTCCATTGGGCATTTGGCAAGGCACACTTCCTTGGAGTTGCTAGATGACATTGCTTTCTCACTAGTACCTGGAACACACCAATTCTGCTGATCTGATGGGATGAGCAGAAGCTACTGCAGTCCTTTAAATAATCTAAAAGCAACAAGCAGTTCCAAATGTATCAAAATGTTAGAAACACACTTTAATATGGGATAAACTCATTTAATAGGAAATCTGTTTATTTACTGAAGTAGTAAGGGATGAAATCTCTCTCACTGAAGACTTTCTTGCATAATTTTATTTGCAATTGTCATGTGAATTGCAAAGCTTCTTGAACTTTACCTTGCACTTGCGATATCTGAATGCACTATTCAGAGGATGTGAAAGAAGAAAGGAGTGTCGCAAGACTGATTTAAAAGTAAAAGAGTAAAGGACAGAGAAAGATAGAATAGAAAAATGCCAGCAGCTGCCTCTTGGAGGCCCAGTCTGAGCATGCTTGGTCAGCACTGGGAGCAAGAGGACAGCAAAGATCAGTCAGTGATGTCAGGGGCTGCAGAGTGCAGGAACCCAAAAGAGCATATTAGGCAGGTGTGGGGGGGGGGTGTTGCACTGTCCCTGCAGCCATAAATACAGGCAGGCTGCTAAGTGGCCAAATTTTGATGATGTGGCCATGGTAATGTTGCAACAGCTATAACTTCAGGCACTTAGTTGTTACTCTGTTCATTTAGTGCTACCATAACTTTCAATGATCACTACATGAATGGCTGTAAATTGAGGACTCCCTGTATATTCAATAAGCCTGTTGTAAGGCTGATTGCCAAGATTCCAGATTGTAATCATGTGATCATGGGGGCGCTGCAATGGCTATAACTTGTAGCAAATTTTGAGGGTCATTGAATGAATGACAATTTAAGCAAGGATTACGTGTAACAGGTTTTATTAGGAAATAATGAAAGTATCGTCTGTTTAGATTTCTACCTCATTCAAAGCTGCAGAATGCATTATGAAAATTCCTGGTTAATCTGGTTGAGAGAACCTTGTAATAAAATTACGTTAGAATGCCCCTAAAAACTGCAGTTTTGTAATATTTTGTCAGCAAATTGGATAATATGATTGAGAGCTTATTCTATCTTATTTGTTTTTGTTTAGATTGATATCTTGTTTGCCAGGTTAGCACTGCAAACTATTCCTGAAGACCTAGACCTTCGAGATGATAGTCTACTTAAAAATTTAGACATTAGATGCATACGAAGTCTTAATGGTGAGTTTATTTTAACCAGATTTGTGTAATCAAAGCAAAAGTTGAACTTTAGTTTTTAAGAAAGTGAGTGACTTCTCATAATGATTTCTGCTCTTAATTGCATACAGTAAATGTTTTTCACAATTCATTCTTTATCCAGATTGGACATTAATTTATTTCTCATTCTGAAGATAAAACAGTTCTGTAACCTATTGAAAAAAGCCATGTGGCAGAGGATTTAACAAGTTGGGACCATTTGTTTCTTGTCCCCATCAAACTAAGTAATTTGTAGCAAATTGAAAAAGGTTTTTTTAAATGACATGGCTTGGGGTATGAAAGTAGTAAACAATCCTTTGAAGAGTAGTAGCTCTCTGCTGGAATGTTGGCTTATTATTTAGCTTACATAATAATGCACATTTGTCTTATCTGTTAAGAAGTAGTACATTTTGGAGAAATAACTTCTGGAAAACAAGTTGCTGCTATTATTGCACCTCTGTATTATGACTAGTACTATTATTTAGGCTTTATCATAATTTTTGCCTGCCCGATAACAAAATTACTTGAGCTTGTGTTTAATGGTTTCCATCTGAACTTAAGAATTTCAAACTTGAGATTGAATATCAGTTTGTGTATTATTTTTCGATATGTGCATTAGATTACAAATATAAAACCTCACAGCTAGATATTAGAGTTGAACGTTAACCTTTGACTAAATTTCCCAGTATTTGGAAGAAAAATAAAATTATGATGGAGGTTGTTTTTTTTTGCTTCTGTGTTTCAGGTTGCAGAGTAACTGATGAAATTCTCCATCTAGTACCAAACATTGACAATTTCAGGTTAACACTGAGAGCTATCAAACTCTGGGCCAAACGTAAGTGGAGTCTTATGAAACTAGATTTTAAAAAAGGATACTGTGCTATTGAATGAAAGTAACTAAACTTATCTGTCTCTTTTCCCTTCTAAACAACAGGGCACAACATCTATTCCAATATACTAGGTTTCCTTGGTGGAGTTTCCTGGGCTATGCTTGTAGCAAGAACTTGCCAGCTTTATCCAAATGCAATAGCATCAACTCTTGTACATAAATTTTTCTTGGTATTTTCTAAATGGTATGTCTCTTTAGATTACACTAAAATAAAAATTATTATAGACCCTGAATTTTAGTGTTGTTTCTATGGCATTTATTCAGATGGTGTCAGGTTAAGAGTTTCACTTAAAGGAGCATTTATTCTCCCAAGAGATTGCAAGACATTGTTGTGGAGATTTACAGTTGCTAAACTTTATTTTATAGCTGCCAGTATAAAGCTTCTATTTACATTGTATAAGGCATTTAAACTAAACCGAACATGGCTTTTGTGAGCCTAGGAGCACCTGGCTTATAATGTCATCCATTTTAATTTTAACTGATTAGGGGGTACACAAACATGTAGCCTAAATGGTTTGATGTAGACCCTTAAAGAAGGATAGTTATTCCACAATGACTATGCATGATGTAATTTCCATGCAACATATTTCATGGAATAATTGAGATGTTTAATCATGGTCTGAATGTTTTTAAGCCTTCCCCTCAAAGATTTTTTACAGGTGGGTGAGACTAAAATAATTCCAGGTACCACTAGGGAACATTTCATTATTTCTTCATAAAAAGAATGCTCTATGATAAAAAACATAATCACTATCTTCATGGTCATTCTTAATGTTGGATTTAATTTTTATAATACTATTTGAACTGGAATGACCAATAATACCTGTATAGGTCTGAATTAAACATAAAATATTGTGGTACTTTACACATATGCACCATTGCCTTATGCTGGGAATGTTATAAATATTGAGTAAGATGGATGGAATGGTGTGCATAAAATGTGTGGCTTTTCAAATTTGCGTTGAAATTTGTTTCTCAAAAGAAACACCTTTTGACTGGGTAGAATAATAGAATTATTAAGGTAATTAACTCATTAAAACATAATATATTGGTTAATTTACATATTCATTTTTAAATGATCAAGGCACTCTTCTGTGAGGATACAACTAACAGACAAATGCTGTGTTCATTTGCCAAGTAATGGAAAATGTTCCTACCATTCATACTCTTTGCTGATGGCAGTTCTTATCCATTCGGGCATGAGAAATGGATTATAAATGTTAAAATAATGTTCTCCATAAACAGATAGTATAACTATATACCCCCACAGGAGCCCTTTAAATATGAAGATTAATTGGGGTGGAGTGTGTGTGTGTTTTATTTAAAATGGCATTTGCTGACTCTGTGGCCTGATAATTTTTTTAATTAAGGAAAGAACACTCCTTAATAAATAAAAGTAGAGAGATTTTCTTTTGGAAAAAAGTTTCAGCTAATACTGCATCTGTATAAAATAAAAGCTGACATTCAAACATGCTTGTTTGCTTTTTAATAAGTGCTTTTCTTACTCAGTGCTACAATCTCTCTAAACAGGGAATGGCCAAATCCAGTGCTATTGAAACAGCCAGAAGAATGCAATCTTAATTTGCCTGTATGGGACCCAAGGGTTAGTGTATTATTTTTTCCCCATATAACTTCAAACTGTAAAGTAAAGCAAAGTGATGAAACCCCTGAGAACTTATTCATTACAAATTTAAACATTAAGTAGTTTTTCAGAACTTCCTGCTCTTTGTAATATATAGATTATGGTTACTTTTTGTCATGGATTACACTTCAAGTCTGCTTTAAAGTCTGCCCTCAGTTGGTAAAAATTCACCAGTGATGAGCCTTAAAATGTAATACTGCTACAGGTTTAAAGTTACATCCGTTCATTCACCATACAATTTGAGAATTAAGTCTTAATGATCCATAGTTTTATTAGAAATAATGGTTCTATGAGGGCCCAGTATTGTACACGTATGTCACACATGCCTTCTATTGGGCAGTTGCTTACAGTACCTTTTTTTCTGTGGATGGCTGTGAGCATGTTTTCTATTCCTCAATTATTCCATTAGAAAACTCAGAGTGACTTTCATGGGATTCCCAGTGATTTTTTTTTAAAACTCAGTCCTAACCAGCTCCACATCCCCTTAGTTCAGCAGTGCTATAGGCTGATGTACTCCTGGACAATTTATTGGGTTTCTGTATGGCTTACACAAGAGGTTAAAAAGAATAGAATATTTTTTTTCCCTATTGTATGTGGCTATCTCATTTGAATTTGGGACTTGCTGAAATCCCAGTGGATTTAAGACCTATGTCTACAGAGCACATGGAATCGGAACTCGTTTGGTTCACCAAAACAAGCAAAATGGGTGTATGTGAAGACTGTACAGTTTTTGTTTACAATAAATAGTTTACTTTAATAAAAGCCCTTATTAAATGTTATGTTATGCTTACCATTCCTATTGCCTTGTTACCTTTTGGCACAATAACAATGTGTACTCTAATAGATAAGTAAAACAAATGTAAGGGAATAATAGGGTTTCAAGTCTAAAAATGAAACTTTAAAAATACTGAAATGCATTTGCTATTCCTTCAACAAACAAACTTCTAAATAAAAGATACGTTAAAAACATATGATCCTGTGGGTGCTTAGTCTTTTTTTGTTTGTGTTTTTTAAAAAAATAAAATTGGCCTTTTCTTAATTTATACTACAATAAAATTTGGACTACATATTACAAAGCAGATCCAAGTAATAATGTGCCACCAGGTTCATCAATATTGTACTGCCTGGATTAATACCAGGTAATTCAACATTCCTCATTATTGAAGTAGTGATTCAGTTTTATGATCATAATAATATAGTGGGGTTTTTTTTTTCAATTGCTAAAAGCAAAATACGTTTTGTTGGCCATTTTTTATGTTTGAAATTGTTTAACTATTTAATATGATTCACAGTTACTGGTTCTTACCAGAATAATCATTTTGAAGTTTTTTTCAATGGACAGATCCAAATTTTTTTACTTGAATGTGATTGAAGAAAACTGATTGGCTGTTGTTATGTATAGGTAAATCCCAGTGATAGGTACCATCTTATGCCTATAATTACACCAGCATATCCCCAGCAGAACTCTACGTACAATGTGTCTGTTTCTACACGTATGGTCATGGTTGAAGAATTTAAGCAAGGTAAGCAATTCTGAAGATCTATTCCTGAAAGCTTTAAATTCTGCCCTACATATATGCTCTAAATCAGGTGTCAAACTCAATTTCATTGAGGGCTGCATCAGGGTTGTGTTTGACCTCGGGGAGACAGGGTGGGCCAGCTTGACGTCACTTGTGTTGGGGGCGCCTCTGGTGGCCTGAGCAGTCTGCCAGTGAAAATGGGCTCCCGAGCTCTGTTTTCGGCTGTGACGGCCTCCTGCAACCCTCTGCCAGCAAAAACGGAGCTCACAGGCGCACATGGCCCTCCCAAGCTCTGTTTTTGCTGGTAGAGGCACTGCAGGCCAGTCCTTTGCTGTTTCCAGGGCAGCCCTGCAAACCAGATCTAAGCCCCCCCTTCCGCGCCCCCCCAGCCGGATCTGGCCCCCGGGCCTTGAGCTTGACAACCCTGCTCTAAATGGATAATAGAGACAAGCACTTAATGGATAGTAGTAAGTTATGAATTTATAGATTTCCCAAATACTAAAACTTAGGAAGAACATTTCCCAAATGGAAAGTAATTGAGTATGGTATTTTATCCACTTCTTGCTTTTTAAAATATTCCAGGAGCTCCTACCTACAGCTGGTATGTTTTCAGATATACTGTAGTAGTAATTATATGCCACAACATATATTCTAAAAACAATAAACTTTCAATTTTCAGCTAATTATTTTAGCCATAGTACAATTTGGTTTCTAAATACTTGATCATATATAACTTCTACCCAGCTTATTGACATGAAAACATAATTGCACCAAATTTGATCCCTAGATTTTCTGATTTTCAAGAGCTTGAGTGACAAAGCAAATACGTTTTTGTTGAAATCTTACACAGCAAACTGAGTAGAGTATATGCTTGTTAGTACAGAGTTCTGATACTTTGTTGATAAGTTTAAATAATAAACTGAAGAAAGCCCTCATAATGAAGATATTTAATTGTCTTAGCCCTTGTAATTTGCAAATTTATGTTCAAACAGATTAAATGTGTAAAAGGCTGAATATGTGTTTTTGTCATTCAGGTCTTGCTATCACAGATGAAATTTTGCTGAGTAAGGCAGAGTGGTCCAAACTTTTTGAAGCGCCAAACTTCTTTCAAAAATACAAGTATGTATTTTATGGTATGAAAGATGCTTTCTAAGTATATTAATATCTTAATATTCTAATGCTAAATGCCATGATTTCAACTGGTAAATTGACTGGCATTGCTGTAATGGACAAATGCTGAATTGATCACAAACTTGATTAAATTAAATTTCTTCTAGGCGAAATAGGAATCGATTTTATTATTTCAACTGAGTATGAAATATATATGTGAGTTCTAATGATTAGCAAATCACCTCTAATATTTTCTTGGGATTTTTGGGGCTTTGCAAATAACTTATTAGAGATTGAAGTAGCATAATGGGAAATAGTTGGATTAATTGAATAGTCAGGAGCCCTGATGGCGCAGTGATTAGAATGCAGCATTGCAAGCTAACTCTCCCCTCAGTCTGGAGTTCGATCCTGGACCCAGATATTTGGAGGCAACATTGTAAACTACTCAGAGACTGCTATAAACCTCTATGGAACTGTATTTAAATCTAAGTGCTATAGCTATTTTTGTAGAAAAGATATAGCTTATTTTTTAAAAATATATTAAAATATATTTTAAAAATATTTTAAAATGTGTGTATTTTTATGTATCCTCTTACAGTTACAGATGTCCACTTCCAGCAGTAGTTTACTGTTGTTTTTGTCTGAGCTTGGTACCTATACTTTAATGCAATCCCTCCCACTATTAAAAGATGACTGGCCACCATTATAATGTGTCTGAGTTTTTTTTATTCTAATTCTTGCATTATAAATTGTAGAACACTAAAGAAAATTGGGCTAGTTATTCTTCTGTATAGGAATAGATACAATTATCTTTTACTTTTAGTAATTTCATTAGAAACAGAAAAGTGATGGCAGAAAAAAACCTAGTAGTCCATTGAGTGTGCCTTTTGAGCTTATTTGTTTTTTGTTTTCTTTTTAATTAATTAATTACATTTTAATTATTTTTATATGTTATTAATTTTTATTTTATTTTTTAAATTTTTGTCGGATGATGGACATGCAGTTATCCCAAGCATGTTTAAACTCAGTTACTGATGATTGACCCATTACCTCCTCTGGAAGTTGGTTCCAAGCTTTCACTACTCTTTCTGTGGAGTAATACTTTCTAATATTACTTTTGAACTTCTGTTTGAGGTTATCCCCCCCATGTTCTTGGATTATTATTTTTTTTGCTTAATAGTGAAAATGTTTCCAACTGCCATAATGTAAGGGATGTTCAACATTTTTCTTATGTAAGCTTTTACCATTTAATCCTTCAATATGTTGCAGTAACATAAAAATCTCATTTCACATATATTTTGTAGTTCATTGCCATAAGTTTTTATTGTTAAAAATATTGCACAAATTTGTTTTGTTATTAAAAGATAAGTGAGTTCTGATTATTTTACTTTGCAAAAACATAATATGGACATTTGTAAAAACAATACTGTTATGAACATTGGTTGTCATAGGATCTATTATAGACATTTAATGAATGAGACAGTAAGAGCCTGTAGTACAGTAGACTAAGCACTATTATTAACATCTGCTGCTTGCAATTACTGCAAATTCAAATCTCACCAGGCTCAAGGTTGACTCAGCCTTCCATCCTTTCAAAGGTAGGTGAAATGAGGACCCAGATTGTGGGGGCAATAAGCTGACTTTGTATAAATATACAAAAGTATGAAGGCTATTGCTTAACGCATTGTAAGCTGCCCTGAGTCTCCGGAGAAGGGCGGCATATAAATTAAAGCAAAAAAAAAAAGGTGTAGAAAAGAAATAAAAAGAAAAATATTTCATAGAATTCTACAAAATTTTATATATTGGTTTGCTTCTTAACAGCTTTGAGTATTCTGTTGTCAATGCAGAGACTTCCTTTAAGCACATCCCTCGCCCTGCTTCCCAAATAAAAAATGAATAATAATTTTACTTTGGAGGAAAAAAAATCTTCAGTTGACTTACCTGAATAATCAAGCATACTATCTTTTCTGAAAAGTTCGGTGTAAAACTGAGTAAAACACATGTTGTAGGTTCCCAAGGATGTTTTGATAAAGGTTGATTCCCCAGATCTAAAATGCTTATATACAGTAGTTACAATGGTACTATTCTTTCTGAAACCACACATTATTTTAGTCAATATTTAGTACTTTCTGCATATGGAATTTACTGTACTATGCGTCTTAACAGTAACTTCAACGGTAACTAGAGGATACTACATTAAAAGATCCAATTCCAAATATTGATAGATGCAAGTTTAATAAGTATAGATTGATTAATATTTAATGGTGATGCAATAATGATCCAATATTTTGTTTTCTGTATTCTGCCACAAAAACCTCAGAACTTAATTATACTTCATAATAAAGTACTTACTTAAAGCAAAATCTATCAGAAAATAACATCTATCCCTCAGATACAAATTATCTCATGCTAAGAAAATGCTGAAAAAAGCACAAGCTTAGGATACATTGAATTGTTAAAAAGAGTTTTGATTTCATTTGAAATAGCTTGGATGCTCAGTTTACTATTAATAACAAATCAGAGACTATAACCTAAAATTTATAAGAATTGTAAAACAAAACCAAACATCTATAAAATAGGATTATCTTGGACTAATTTTACGAATGAATTTACTGTATACATTTTGCTGGAAAAGAAATTTGAACAAATCCTATCATTTGTTTGGGAAAGTCCATTGTAATATTATTTGTAGGCCATCAAGAGCAAATGATGCTTCTAGTTTTATTTTGCCTAGCAGTAATAATAAAGAGCAGAGTTTGGAGATGACAGTTAGGTAGCAGATTATATCATTCTACGTTGTTCATTCCTTCTATCACTCACTACAATTTTCTAAGTCTGTTCTGGAAGTCAGAAATGCCGTGATTTGCATTTGTTGTTGTTGGGTTTTTTTATACCTATAGTGATCCTAACCAAATTTCTGTGTGCCGTACACCTTTGGCATATAACCATACTGGCCACATGACCATGGAAAATGTCTTAGGACAACACTAGCTCCCTTACTCAAGAAACAGTGATGAGCACCATGCTCTAGAGTCAGACACGACTGGAGAGGGAAACCTTTACTTTTATGTGTGTGTGCACTCACCCACTGTAGATATTCACATCAAGAAATGGTTAACTTACAGTATGTTAAAACAATCATATTTATCACAGAACTTCCAATAGACAGGCTGAGAGATGCCCACAAACTAATTCACTTCAGTAGAGGCAGATAATTGCTGTGAACATTTCTTGGCACAATTGCCGTTTTTGTTTTCTGAAACAGTTCTGCATACTCATCAAAGCATGTAGTGAGTTCTGGATTGAGGCCATTATATTTAGCAGACTTTTTTGTAGAAGTGAAAATGGTTTGCTGACTCAAATGTAAAATATTTCAGAATTACCTTGAATATGTTCCATGCTATCGCTATAGATGTGGGAAGATAGCTCTGTTTTAGAAGTCAGTTTCAGAATAATGGACTACTAGAATACTAACAATCTTTTTCAACTAAAAGATAAATTTCTTAGTTCTAGTAAAGTTTTTAAGTACATAATCTGAATCTCATTTTATTTCAACTTCTAGGATTGTATTTTGATTTTGTTAATATTGTTTTGACTGATAAAATTAACCAGTATAAGGTCTGGGCAGATTTTTAAGGTTAAAATAGTTACATCAGATACTGGGTTAACTGAAGACAACATTAATATATTAAGATACAATAAATGTTGAAAAATAGAATATAAATCAAATTTTCAAAAGAAAGTTAGTATATTATTTTTTTATTTTCAAAGGCATTATATTGTACTTCTAGCAAGTGCACCAACAGAAAAACAACGATTAGAATGGTGAGTCAAATTCTCCATATTGCCATCTTTTAGCATTTGAATGTGATTCTTCTGTGATTATGGCCAGATAATTTCGTCTGAGCAGAGCACTGCAAATGATTATGCTATACATAACAGGGTAACCCACATCTGACTTACTTTTTCCTCCTATTGGGGAGCGAATGATCAATAAAGGTGAAACTCAGAAACAACAAAGTTCTTTATTGTTTGGCTGATAAGCACATATTCTAAAAATGTGTTAAGCAAAACTGGGTAAATCATTCTGGGGGAACATTTGATAACTATCTTTACTTCTGTTTTCACTAATCAAGTTAATAAAACTAAGTACAAGTGGGATTATATTCATTTTAAATCCTCACCCCACTTTATTCAGGCTGCCAACAGAGGAAATTTGCTCAGTTAAAACTTACAACAGAAAATACAACTAAAAAGAAAAATGAGGAAAAAAATCCATGTAAAACCAGAGCCCAATAGTCATTTTTGTGGAATCTTGATGCTCTCTGAACTTGTTGTTTGCTAGCAGACGTTTCATTACTTGACTAGGTAACATGATTAGTGCTAATGAAGCTTGCTCTGCCTGTATTGGTGGGGGTGTGGCTTACTGCTTGGTAGTTCTTTGATTGGGAGTAGGCTATTTTTTTCTGCTTGATTGGAGTTTGTCTGGTGTTTATCCCTGCTTATCTGGGTTTTGGCTGCTGAGAAAATGTGTTTTGATTTTTCTGTTTCCTTCTTAGCTTTTTTACTGTCTCTTTGAATGGTGTATAATGGTGGCTTATCTCTGTGTCTCTTGATGGCTGATTTGTCTGAATGCCAGGTTTCACACAACTTATTCTAATCAACTTATTCTAATCAACTTATTCTTTTCTCTATTTGATAGGGCTCTAAATCAACTTTAGAAAACTAGCATTACCAGATAATGCCTCATTCAGAGTTTGATAGCTTCTTAAGCAAATAATATGTTTGACTACCAACCTGACTACATGTCACAATCATATTGAGGCAAATTCACAGAAAACAATCATTGCTCCATAAGTATGCATAACTTTTCTTCTTTGATTATTGTATTCATTTACTTCCTAAAATCTGAAAGCTACTCAGTTTTAAAAAGACTATGACCACTTTACAAATGATAGAAAAATAAAATGAAAAGATTCAAAATAAAATTTGGCCCAGTGGGTAAGGCATCAGGCTAGAAATCAAGAGACCGTGAGTTCAAGTCCTATCTTGACCATGAAAGCCAACTAGCTGACCTTACGTCAGTCACTCTCAGCCCAACTCACCTCACAGGGTTGTTACTGTGGGGAAAGTAGGATGTGGAAAATATGTTGGATATGTTCATCTCCTTGAGTTATTTTTAAAAATAATAAAGGGGATATAAATAAATAAATACAATTTAAAATTCCAAACAACCAACTTCCTAGCTATGGTATTAACACACTGAGAACCACAGCCATAGCCACAAAGATTACCATGTTATTAATCTCCAAAAACTTCTGAAACAGCTAGGTTCTGTAAATAACAGATTTTTCCCATGTAGAATTAAGATATTCAGCAAGAGGTTCTAGTGGAGAAAAAAGCTAGAATCTTTATCTTGCCTGTGGTGGAATAAATCTTTAACTGATGATGGGGAGATTAGCCTGGAAAATTAGATGCCATAAACCTAAATCAGCATTTTCTAAAAATTATGAATTTGAAATAAATAAAATGCTTATGGATAGCTCTTTTATGCACTGGATTCTCTTGTGAAGAAGACAATTTTTGCTTATCTTCCACAACGCTACTTGCCACCCATGCATTTGTGGAAAAGTTCTGCAGTCCTCCTGAGAAATAATGGATGAAGGGCAATATTGTCATTGGCAGAAATATTCTATGAGATTTCATTCACAAGCAATTATACTTTTAATTTATTCCAGTTAGCTTACTATTTGCATTATTCAATATTGCCTGTTATCTTTTAGGGTTGGCTTAGTAGAATCAAAAATCCGTATCTTGGTTGGAAGCTTGGAGAAGAATGAATTCATTACACTGGCTCATGTAAATCCTCAGTCATTCCCAGCACCCAAAGAAAATCCTGACAAGTAAGGCACTTAAAACTTAATAAAACTACTGGAAGAAATGTTACTAAAAAGAAAATAATCAGTTTTTCCTATTAACTTAGTCAGAAGGTTGACAGTTTAATTTAGGTTATGCCTTGGAAGAAAATCAGTTTCTTGTTCTCCACAGGAAATGTAGGACAGTAGAAAAATTGACAGAAAAGGGATAAAATTGGGATAATATATGCAGATGCTGTTAAGATTTAAAGTATCTTTATTGCAGGGGTGAAATCCAGCAGGTTCTGACAGGTTCTGGAGAATCGGTAGCGGAAATTTTGAGCAGTTCGGAGAACCGGTAGCGGAAATTTTGAGTAATTCAAAGAACAGGCAAATACCACTTCTGGCTGGCCCCAGAGTGGGGTGGGAGTGGAGACTTTGCAATATCCTTCCCCAGGGGTGGGGAGGGAATGGGGATTTTGCAGTAGCCTTCCCCTGGAGTAGGGTGGGAATGGTTATTTTGCAGTATCCTTCCCCTGCCAGGCCCACCAAGCCATTCCCACAGAACCGGTATTAAAAAATTTGGATTTCACCACTGCTTTATTTTACTAAAAAAGCTGAAGGTGGATCCGGAGGTATAATTGCAAAAAACGTTCTAGCATCTTCTTTATTCAACGACCACTCATGTAAGAGAGGTAGCAGAAGATATTGTATGCTGATGTTCACAAAATCATGTCTAAAATTTTACCTTGCATTGTTACACATTTTGAAATATTCTTTGCGCAAATGGACATATGCTTTTGAATTTACCCCCAGAAGGCTTTTGCACAAAGTCTTCTATGCAGAGAACTGCACTTCTGGATGCAAACTCTTATTCAATGAGTAAGATGTAAACAAAAGTAAACAACTTTTTGTTGGGATTATGGAAAATGATAATTAGTATTATGTTTATCCCATCCAACGTTATTTAAATAGTTTTATAAAGTTTTATCCATTTGTTATCCTTTACATTGTTAGAAAATATTAATGTTTTTAAGCAGAAAAGCAGTCCTCAGTTCCCAGTTACTAAACCTGCAATAGACCATGAAATAGGATCTCAAACTTTAACAGTTTATGTGTCCTTACTTGATGAAGGGACAAAGTAGTTCAAGTAGTTGTTTGGTACTATTTATAACCCAAAATTTGTTTCATTTAACAGTCATTAAATGTTGAATGGGTAGAGTGAAGTCCTAATTCAGAGATGCACTTGGGGTGGAGTAGGTCTGTGTTGGCAGAAATGCATTTCTATTAAACTATTATTTATTTTTCAGAGGAGCTGAAAAAGTCTTGATAGATGGGCTAGGCACGGGAGAAAACAAGTTTGCCATACCCAAACTAGATTTGGTTTGCCTTCCTCACATAGTTAAGAAGGTTCAAATCAATATGAACTAATGTTTATTTAATTTGATGGGAACTTAAAAATAAAAATCCATAATTTTCTGTGCCTATCATGAAGTGGTTGAAATCAGGCTAGACACAACTTTACTTAGCCTGTTTTGGCAACAGGTCTCTGGCTGTTTTGCCCTCTTGCAACTGAGCAATAGTTTCTGAGAATTCCAAGATCTTTATATAATTCTAAAATCATTGAACTGTTGAATATTTTATAACATTTTACACAAATGGCTGATGTTGGAAATAGTTATTTACAAAATTTTACATTTTAGGATTCTTTCTATTGTCCTTTGTGACTTTAATTATTTTTTATTTTTATTTTCCAACAGGGAAGAGTTTCGTACAATGTGGGTGATTGGATTAGTGTTTAAGAAAACTGAGAATTCTGAAAATCTGAGTGTTGATCTTACATTTGACATTCAGTCTTTTACTGATACTGGTAAGTTTGACTGACTGATAATTGTTCTCTTCCAATTGTTTCCCCAAGATGTATTAGTTTGGCAAATATATTTTCATGGTACTGGCAACTGTTAGCAAAGTATTGGCCTTCATATTTATAATTTTGCCCCTCCCCAAGTTTTAAATATAAATACTATAGTCTTCTGATTAGTATCAGCAGTAATTGTAATAGTACAGCTGATCATATTCTGTTATGCTATAGTTTCCATAACATGGCAATGGTTTCAATTCAGTTTGAATACTAATACCGAAAATTCAAAATAGCTTTTTGTCTATAAAATGCAATAACCTTCCACAAGGGTAATAAATGAATAAGAACAAAGTATATATAATCCAGCATTCTGGACTCATGGAGGGTGACCAGATGAATCCCAGAATCGCAAAAGGAGAAATTCTGTTTCAATGTTGTTCCTTAGCAACTGATATTTAAGAATGCCATCTTTGATTATGAGTTGGTAAAAAGCTTTGTAATTCTATTTTTCATGAATTTTTCGGGTTCTCTTTTAAATCTACCTTAAATGGAGGCTGTTTCTATATCTAATAGCAGTTTATTCTTTGGTTTAACTATTTATAGTTTAAAGTGTGCCTCCTTTTTGATTCTTTTCAATTTACCTTCATTACATAAACTTCAGTTCTCTGTGTGTTCTACCCCACATATGATACTTCTGTCACATTCTTTTTTTTATTGGTCCCAAACACTATGGATTTCTTTGTAAAGAGCCTACTCAAGTTTCCTAATCATTTTTCTTATCCCTTTGTGGTGATTAAATGTTATGGAATACAACTAAATTTAGTAAGATTGAAAGGAGCATTTTAGAAATTTGTACAGGAATAATATTGATATGTTAAAAAAATAATTGAAATAAATACAGGTTATTTACTTGGTTGACCAATTGTATTTGATCTTTGCCATTGTCTCAGCAATATTCCCCAAAAGGGATAGGTTGAAGACAAAGCAATAAGAACACATAAATGCCCTATTATGCAGGAAACCTACAGATTGCCCTGCTGCATATACTTCAACGCTGCCAGTACACAACCAACTCTCTCATCTTCAGCGAGGCTCTAAACTACAATCATATTTGTTCAGACCCATTTCACAGACATGTGCAATTGAAATTAAATCAGGCATTCAGGACGCTGAACTACATGAGATAAACAATCAAATCAATATAGGTAGTTCTCAGTTAACAATAGTAATTAGAATTTCTGTTGCTAAGCATTGCATTTATAAAGTTCAGTGTCACATGATCATGCTGCATAGCGACAGTGGTTCTGGCAATTGAGCCCAGAATTTACAGTGGGGCAAAAAAGTATTTAGTCAGCCACCAATTGTGCAAGTTCTCCCACTTAAAAAGATGAGAGAGGCTTGTAATTGACATCATAGGTAGACCTCAACTATGAGAGACAAAATGAGAAAACAAATCCAGACAATCACATTGTCTGATTTGGAAAAAAATTATTTGCAAATTATGGTGGAAAATAATTATTTGGTCAATATCAAAAGTTCATCTCAATACTTTGTTATATATTCTTTGTTGGCAATGACAGAGGTCAAACGTTTTCTGTAAGTCTTCACAAGGTTGGCACACACTGTTGCTGGCATATTGGCCCATTCCTCCATGCAGATCTCCTCTAGAGCAGTGATGTTTTGGGGCTGTCGCTGGGCAACACGGACTTTCAACTCCCTCCAAAGGTTTTCTATGGGGTTAAGATCTGGAGACTGGCTAAGCCACTCCAGGACCTTGAAATGCTTCTTACGAAGCCACTCCTTCGTTGCCCGGGCGGTGTGTTTGGGATCATTGTCATGCTGAAAGACCCAGCCACGTTTCATCTTCAATGCCCTTGCTGATGGAAGGAGGTTTGCACTCAAAATCTCACGATATATGGCCCCATTCATTCTTTCCTGTACACGGATCAGTCGTCCTGGTCCCTTTGCAGAGAAACAGCCCCAAAGCATGATGTTGCCACCCCCATGCTTCACAGAAGGTATGGTGTTCTTTGGTGCAACTCAGCATTCTCTCTCCTCCAAACACGACGAGTTGTGTTTCTACCAAACAGTTCTACTTTGGTTTCATCTGACCATATGACATTCTCCCAGTCTTCTTCTGGATCATCCAAATGCTCTCTAGCAAACTTCAGACCGGCCTGGACATGTACTGGCTTAAGCAGGGGGACACGTCTGGCACTGCAGGATCTGAGTCCCTGGCGGTGTAGTGTTACTGATGGTAGCCTTTGTTACGTTGGTCCCAGCTCTCTGCAGGTCATTCACTAGGTCCCCCCGTGTGGTTCTGGGATTTTTGCTCACCGTTCTTGTGATCATTTTGACCCCACGGGGTGAGATCTTGCGTGGAGCTCCAGATCGAGGGAGATTATCAGTGGTCTTGTATGTCTTCCATTTTCTAATTATTGCTCCCACAGTTGATTTCTTCACACCAAGCTGCTTGCCTATTGCAGATTCAGTCTTCCCTGCCTGGTGCAGGTCTACAATTTTGTTTCTGGTGTCCTTTGATAGCTCTTTGGTCTTCACCATAGTGGAGTTTGGAGTGTGACTGTTTGAGGTTGTGGACTGAGGTTGAGGTGTCTTTTATACTGATAACAAGTTCAAACAGGTGCCATTAATACAGGTAATGAGTGGAGGACAGAGGAGCCTCTTAAAGAAGAAGTTACAGGTCTGTGAGAGCCAAAAATCTTGCTTGTTTGTAGGTGACCAAATACTTATTTTCCACCATAATTTGCAAATAAATTCTTTCCAAATCAGACAATGTGATTGTCTGTATTTGTTTTCTCATTTTGTCTCTCATAGTTGAGGTCTACCTATGATGTCAATTACAGGCCTCTTTCATCTTTTTAAGTGGGAGAACTTGCACAGTTGGTGGCTGACTAAATAATTTTTTGCCCCACTGTATGTTGCTAAATTGGAAATTTGTAAAGTGAGTTTTACAACTTTTCTTGTCACATTTGTAAAGTGAATTTTTGCAGTTGTTAAATTAGTAACACGGTTGTTAAGTGAACTTGGCTTCCCCGTTGACTTTGCTTGTCAGGAAGTCACTAAAGATGATCACATGACCCCTGCAACCATCATAAATACTAGTTGTCAAGCAAATGTACCGTATTTTTCGGACTATAAGATGCATTCCTCCCCCCAAAAAATGTTGATGGAAATGGCTGTGCATCTTATAGAGTGAATGTTGCAGAAGCCCCGCCCACCCACCAATCCCCATCCTTCAGCCTCTGCCTCCTTGCAGCAAACAACAAACAGCCTGGTCAGCTTCAGCACAGCCTGATTTAGCATGAGCAGCTGATTGGCAGTTGGATCTTCCTCACGGAATACCACCGATCAACTGTTCCAGGCTGCGGGTATCGCCGCCACCCATTGCCACTGCCACCTATTGCCACCTCCGTGCACCCCATTTTCGGCCTCTGCATATCCTGTTTTCAGCCCGTTCCAGGCTGCGGGGATCGGGTGCCCGGAGGCCAAAAATGGGGTGCAGAGACAGATTTTTTTCCTTGTTTTGCTACCCAAAAGCTAGGTGTGTCTTATAGGCTGGAGCATCTTATAGTCCGAAAAATATGGTAAATCATGTGACCATGGGAATCCTGCAATGGTCATAAATGTGAAAAATGGTCATAAGTCCCTTTTCTCAGTGCCACTAAATGAACTGTTGTAAGTTGAGGACTACCTGTATTGTTAAACAAGGATCACACAGGTCATAAAATGAGGATCTCATGTGGTTGCGACTTCTGACTTCCTGCTGGCTTTTATATTGTTTGTGGAAAGCTGGCAGGGAAGGTTCTTACACTGGCCAGAACTTCAAGGACATCATACTTCTTGTTCAGTGCCATTGCAAGTTAGAATGGTTGCTGAACAAGTGGTCATTAAATGAAGATACCTGTAGAGCCAGATCAAGTCCCAGGGAGTATCTATTAAAAGACAAACGGAACAATAGAAACAGAAAAATAGAACACCACTGATTGTCACCTGCAGCTCAGAACTCAAATATATGAACTCAACATGCATCAAAAGGTTTCAGGCAAAATCAGAAGGTCTCAGTCAGATACAATGGGTTATTAAACATTACAGTTGTTAATTCATTATGTACTTGCAGTCTGACTAACATATAAACTGTATCTGTATAACCAACCAGCCTTGCCCTCCATCTTCTCCCAAATAAATCCTATATCAGTCTAGTAACTCTAGACACACGATATTGGAGTACTGTGTCTTTTACTAAGATTTGTTACTCAAGAGGTGCCACAGGGCCTTGATTTCTTTTCTTCTTTTTGGATGAGAGAGAATCTCTTCAAGGAAACCATTTAAATGAAACATTTGATGTAAACGGCAAAGTGAATTATGCTTGATGAGACTGTTTGCCTGGTGAATTTAGCTCTGTATGTAATAACTATACAGCCTAACCTTTTCTTTCCTTCTTTGTCCAGTTGCCTTTTCTCTCATCTTGCTTTAGATTCCCTATTCCCTTTCATCTTACTCCCCCAATGCAATTATCCATCTTGCCATATTCTATCCCACTTTTCTGTTTTCTGCTAGGAGCAGCAAGAATGATAATGTGAAAGGTTATTTTAATTTATGTAAATGGAAATCAGTTATTTTCTAAAAAGGTAACAATTATTTTTAGTTATTAATTCAATTATAATTTTTTTGGCATTTCTTTGGAGTGTGGCTCCTGACAGGCATATACATATAAGGATACAAATATACTTGTTTTCATACACACATTGAATGAAAGGGGAAAAAAAATTTAGGATTCGAATTTGTAGATTTTGCAAACTGGGCTCTATCCTCTAGGAAGGGTTTTGTCTATACTTCTTATTTTTAATCTACTATTTAAACTCAATGCTATCTTCCTTTTGGGTAAATAATAGATATAACTCTCTCCTAAGTTACATAAAAAGAAATATTATGTAGCTTTTTGAAAAATTGTTTCCTTTCATATATATCCAGAGTTATCTAAATCCATAAGTGCTGCAAAAAGGAGAGATCGTAATTTTTATAAGCTCATCTTGCATTCCTCTGCATTATTTCTCTGAATGGCTTTTTTAGAAAAGTGGAGACTCTATTTGAAGCATATAGATACTGGAAGGTAGACAAAGAAGAAATAATGTTTCAACCATTTGTTCCTTTATGTGAAAAAGTTCTACTATATTCTGGTTCATTCCACAGAGAGAAGGGATTGTTTTATTTTGTGGGTAGGTGAACTGGATTAAATTCCAGGTTTCAGTTATAATAGTAGGATCTGTTATCTAAGAGTCAAATTTGTATTAGCTATCCATCTCACAATGTGCAACACTGGATGGCATATAACAATTGAACAACAAATGTAGAAACAGGAAACATAAAAAATAAAAAAAATCCAGATTAAAAAATAAATATTATAAAAATATACATACCTCAGCAAAGGGAGGATAAGAATGGTATTGGGAATAACAATGATATTGTATTTTCTGAGGATTATGATTTTGCTGCTTGAATCAGTATATGTGCAGAATGAAATTTATTTCAGGGGAAGTTTCAGCTTTCCGAAATGTAAAATGTCTTCACTTTATTCTAATTATCTAGTTTATAGGCAAGCAATAAACAGCAAGATGTTTGAAATGGATATGAAAATTGCTGCAATGCATGTTAGGAAAAAACAACTTCATCAATTACTACCTAGTCATGTCCTTCAGAAAAAGAAAAAGGTAACATTTGAGTGTTAATGGATATTGTGATAAAATCTCTCTCTCTCTCTTTGTGTGTATGTATGTGTTTTAGTGCTCTGTTGTTTTTGTTATTAATTATTTCATGTATGTACTGCTTCCCCAAAAAAATATTCTTACATATTCATAAGAAATTAATCCCATTTATATTTATCCCACCTACTGGCTTCCTGGTTTAGCTTTAACTTTTAGTTTGGGATGATTTTTGTTCAGATGTAATTACTAATATTTTAAATAGTTTGGTTAATAGGAGTAATGTTAAACATTTGTACTCAAGGCAATAGACAATAGTTTAAAGTTTGTTAAAGATGTTGGCGGTATTAAAACTATCAAAATTATGAAAAATTAGTTGTCACAATTTTGTTTTCTACAAAACACCCTTTCTTACTAAAGCAGGAGGCAGGTAATGGAGGAGAAGAGAGAAAGAAAAAAGGTACAAGTAGTCCTCAAGTTATGACCATTTATTCAGTGACCAAAGTTACGATGGTGCTGAACAAATGTTAGAATGCCCCCCCCCCCACTGCACCCCACTCTCCTTACTGCAAGTCCCTCCATTTCTGTTGTGACCTAGGCTTCCTGAGTCATTAAAACACATGAATAATCCCAAAAACCTCTTTTATTGCAACAGCTGTGAATTACGTTCATTCACAGCTGAGTCCCAATTAGTCGCACAAAGTCCTTTGGGAGAAGTCCTTCGGGATAATCACCAACTTTTATCTTCCTTGAGACGCTGCCAAAGACCTACTTGGCAAAGCCACCCGGAGTCCAGAATCAAACAGAGATGCCGACTGGGAACAGAATTAACAACTTTCCTGCAAAGGGCCCACGTGCCTTTGCTCCTTTTTTAAGCCTTATAGGAGGGGCCAATCATCTCCAGGCCTTACTCCTGAGTCGTCCCTTCTGTTTTAACTGTTCTTGCCTTCTGGCAGCTCTGTGCATGCGCGCACTAGGAGCAGGCTCCTCCTGTTCCTCTGCCTCTCTGATATATGGCTCTGGAGGCTCCGGAGTCCACACATAACTCCCAGATAGCCCTGGTCCCATCTCTGCCTCTGACGCAGAGCCCTCGTCCGAGCTTTCCTCAGACTCCAGGACTGGCCCATGTTCCTCCCCAGCCTCCTCACTGTCCGACTCCACTGCCAGCTCCGCAGGCTGCTGGCGCACCACAACAACGTCCTGCTTAATGACCTATGACCTGCACATCTGCAGATGGGACTGCGTCAATTGCCATCACTAAGCATTGCGGTCCTGTGAAATTGTTCTTCATGACTACATCACTTACCAAGCCCAGTCCCAATTGCAGTTGTAATTTGAGGACTAGCTGTATATAAGGTCCATTGCTGCACAGAAAAAATGGATCATGTTATTTTTATTTTCTAAAATTGGTACTCTGCTCTTCTCTAATTTCTGACTGGCTAACTACAAATAATACAGGGATGTAGCATTAGCAATGTTTAGATGTTAATTGCAAAAAGCAAAGCTTGTAGGAGCTTAGGATTTTCTATAACACTTGTATACCTCATAACATAATTGTAAGAAAACAGTCAATATATATTTAGTATGCTTATTTTGAAAGCAATATATACTGCTCAAAAAAATAAAGGGAACACAAGCAGAAGACATCCGAGATCTGAATGAATGAAATAGCCTTATTAAATACTTTGTTCTTTACATACAGTAGTTTATACACTGCTCAAACAACTAAAGGGAACACAAAACTACTGTATGTAACGAACAAAGTATTTAATAAGGCTATTTCATTCATTCAGATCTCGGATATCTTCTGCTTGTGTTCCCTTTATTTTTTTGAGCAGTGTATTTGCAGTGCATATATGTGCATGTAGTCCAGAAAGTCCAGAAAGAATGGGAATTGCTGGTGTCCCTGAACAAACTATAAAATGTTAATAGTTGAACAGGCCCATAAGATGATAGTGCTTAATTTTTGTATTACAATATGTCTTTTTTACATGCATTGTCTTCTTGGTTGCAGCATTCAACAGAAGGAGTCAGGTTGACGGCGCTGAATGACAGCAGCCTAGACTTATCTATGGATAGTGATAACAGCACTTCTGTGCCTTCTCCTACCAGTGCTATGAAGACAAGTCCTTTGAACAGTTCTGGAAGCTCTCAGGGGTATTTGTCTCCAATACTTACCGTAATGTTCAGAGCATTATTGGTATCTATCATTCATACTATAATATTTACACAGAGAATCTTTTAACTTTATATAATATATAGTTTCAGATTTTAAAAACTATAAATTTTAAACTGTTTGTGGAGGTCGCATATAACAATGCTGTCCACAGTAGTACAGGACTAACCCCATTTAAGATAGTGAGTGGCATCGATTTCGTCCCCATGCCAGAGTACCCAAGGGAGCCTCCTTCCTCAGTTACATTGACCGAATGGATGGCAATGCTGAGAGAAACCTGGGAGAACGTCAAGAGGGCATTAGACAAGGCGGCACGGTCTTATAAGAAACAAGCAGATAAGCACCGAGCCCCCCAGAGGCCGTTCCAAGTAGGGGAGAAGGTCTACCTCTCCACCAAGTATTTAAGACTCAGACTCCCGACCAGAAAACTGGGGCCGAAATTCATAGGACCATTTCCAATAGTAAAAATAATCAACCCGGTCACAGTACAATTGCAGTTGCCCCGGTTACTAGGAGGATACACCCCGTTTTTCACAGTAGCCTCCTGAAGCCTGTGGTAGGGTCAACTTTAAGGCTGGTGCCACGTGATCCCTCAGGGCCCTTGATTGTTGGAGGCCAGACCCACTATGAAGTACAGCGAATTCTTGAGGGCGCCTCCAATACTTAATTAAGTATTATTAATTTCTTCCTTTAAATTTGGTTCTTTACAAAGATTGTATTGTGTTGTATTGTACTGTACCATACTACTATACATATCCTGATAAATGATATTATTTAATAGATGGGCAGAAATCTATATCATACACTATGCCATGAAGGGCTTTAAAGGTAATTTCCTGCACTTTGAATTGCATTCAGAAGTTCACTGGTAACCAGTGCAGCTTATTAAGCTGTAGTGACACATGGGTCTACCAGATCAAGCATAATACTGTTAATTCAGACATGCAAACCGGTAATCCACATAACTTACTGCAGTTATCAGTCATGTGTTCTACTTCACTGGTTCCATCTTAGTATTACTGAGAAGACGTAAACCTCAAAAGCTTTAGGTGGAGGAGAGAGGAAAGATGCCTTGGTAATAATACCTTCCTGTAATTCATGCTCTTTTTAAAAAAATATTTTAGCAGAAGCAGTCCTGCTCCAGCTGTGACAGCAGCATCTGTGACCAACATACAAGCTTCTGAAGTCACTGTGCCACAAATAAATTCCAGTGAAAGCTCAGGGGGTAAGAAACCCAGATGAATCTTCAAATTTGTTCCTAGATTATTGAAACCCATTTGTCGGGTTTAGATTTTCAATAGCAACTTATTTGCAGTGTAGAATTAACCTATCATTTGCAACTTTAAATCATTGGAATAACTGATTAAGCAGCAAAATAGAAATGACAAAGTTGTCTTTAGTTAATTTATTTGCTTGTTGATTGATGTTACTGACTTTAGCTATGCACAGGCTTTGAATTAAAGTATATAAGCCAAAACTTGAAATTGGGATGAGGGAGTACAAACCAGTCTTTCTTTGCATGATTAATTCTAAGTAGAACTTGCATATAAGAGAACACTAAAGGTGGGATTTAAATGTATGGCCATATCCCTTTCTCACTTCTACTCAATTCACATACAGTATGCTCATTCAAATACCTCCCTTTCTTCAGCTTTAATATAGGCTTTGTACCTTCTACATTTCTATACAGAATACACAATGTGGACTATAATGCAGACCTGCCTTAGCACAGTTATTATTTTGTCTTTTTTTAGTCTTGTTCAGCATTGTAGTGCTGTTACGTGTGTTCCAAATTTTTTTAATTTAGAATACAAATCAAAACCAAAAACCATGGGTAAATGTCATAGATTTGGTGCTTGCAGTTCCCTTATCATGTTAATTAATTTTCTAGACAGAATATGCAGTTTTTGATAGTAAACCCCGCAGAATAAATTATGTCAAATAAGAAATCATATATTTTGTTTAATTTACTACAATTAAATGAGTCATAAAATGTAACCTCCCTTGATGAAGAATATGGTTTGCTTGAAGAAAATAATTCAAATTTGTTTTTTGCCCTTGAACTTATAAACTAAAATTTGGATGATATTGTAAACATTAAATTATATTTCGATAGGTACTTCAAGTGAAAGCATTCCTCAAACTGCCACACAGCCAGCCATCTCTCCACCACCAAAGCCTACCATCTCTAGAGTAGTTTCTTCAACCCGTGTTGTCAACCAACCACAGAGACCTTCAGGAAACACTGCAACTAAAGTAACTAGCCCTGTAGCAGGTGTGAAGAGGACATCATCTCCCCATAAAGAAGAATCTCCTAAAAAAATAAAGACTGATGAGGTATTTCTATTTCCTTGTTGGCTCAGCAGAACGTTTTTTTCATTTTGGTTCTCTTAGGTCTTGGTTACTAAAAAATTTGCCCATTCCTGAGGGGGAGAGAGTGATGATAAAAGTTTAAAGAAATATTAAATGGAACACTAATACCTTATTGCCATGATGGTGAACCTATGGCACTCGTGCCAGAGGTGGCACACAGAGCCCTCTCTGGGCAGGTGCGCCGTCGCCAGCTGCTCGTCTGGATTCTGGTGCGCGCACTGGCCAGTTACTCTCCTCCGGGTTCCGGCACCTGGTCTTCGCATGAAGACTAGCTGGCCGGCGCACATGCGCACAACAGAACCCAGTTAATCACACATAATATACTTTCAGAAAGCATTTAAAGGTAGATTAGAAATTTAAAAAAACTATTAATAATTAGTCACAATCTCTGTATTTTCATAATGAGAGATAGTATATAGTTTGATGTTAGAAGACACAAACGTTTTATATATATATATATATATATATATATATATATATATATATATATATGTATAAAACATTTACTCAAAATATCTTTTCTCAAAATAACACAAAAATATCCAAGATGATTAAGAAAACCTTGTTACATAAAAGCATAATGCAAACACAAAATGGAGTTTTGCAAGCTAACTTTGCCGACAGCTTGGAGTTTGATCCTGAAGGGCTCGAGATTGACTCAGTCTTCCACCCTTCTGGTCAGTAAAATGAGGACACAGACTGTTGGAGGCAATATGTTGACTGTAAACTGCTCAGAGAGTGCTGTAAAACTATGAAATGATATATAAGTCTAAGTGCTTTTGCTATAAAATAAGACCAGTGCTTTGTAGCGGGATGAGTCAGAACTCAATATAGCTATTCCTGAATAAATTTTATACAGTGGATTAGCTATTTATGCAATTATGTGACCAGGCAAAACCATGATATCTGCAATTGAATGCTGGTACGATTTCACAATGATGAATGCTCATTATGGCTTTTTGTTCATATTTGTTATGCTCAAGTTTTATGGATTCTTGTGTTCTTAACAGATATAACTTAGTTGCAATTAAATTCTGGATAGACGCTTTATTTTTGTTTCTTGGGGCAGGTTTCCCATTTCCTTGTGATTCTTCTGCTTTATTACAGGACGAAATAAATGAAGATGTTAGTTGCATTGATATGAGTGATCATGATAAGATGGAAACTAAGGTACTTTTCTTATACTGTGTAGGAGCTATAGTGTATTGAATACCTACAAATTTTAAAACAAAGGTATCATTTTCACTCCAGTTGTTATATGTTTTGAGAATCTACTCTTTGACTGAAGACATTCTAATACATATAAACCCTATAGACTAATTTAATTGTCCATCTTGTTTGAAGATTCATCTTTACCAACTCCAATCACATACCTTTGAGAATCAACAATGAGGTCATAAAACTATTTCCTTCACTTGCTTCCTACCCTTCAAACTGTATTGACAGATATGGTACCTCTCAGTAAGAGAGATTTGATAAAGTTAAGAAAATCAGCCTCCAAAGTTTGAATCAAACTAATCCTCCCTGACCACTAGTTATAGGAGTTCGTGTTGCTTGGAAATGGACTTCAACAGCATCAGGAAATCTACAGTTTTCATTTGTCTTTAATTTCTGTATGCTCAAAACAATTAATATTTGTTGATAGCTTAATGATTTAAAAAGAATAATAAAAGAGAAATAATGAGAAATAGCGATAATCAGAGATGTGCCAGGTTCTTTGGCTCAGGGAATTTTCTGGTGCTTCCTGCAGTATTTTATCACTGGAACACACTTTTACATTCAATTATAGGTAATACATCATAACCATTTCTCAATAGCAGAAAATAAAAACAGTTTTACACTCTAAAATGACATTAACAGGAGCTCAAAACAATTATAATGGTTTAAAATTAAAATACATTTTAGTTTTGAAAGATCCAGGACAATAAAAGGTTCTTTAGCTGCAGCTGAAAAGACTACAGCATAGTCTTTACTCAAGTCTCTGCTGGTAGGCATCTGTTGGCTGTCACTTGGCAGAGCACTGAAAAAAGAACCTACAAAAGGGAACTCAGTGGCTTGGATCCAATTCTTACTTTCTGTAAAGAACTTTTTCAACTTTTGGGTGGTCCATCAGAGCAACCAAAAAAGACAAATTCAACACACCAAAAAATAGCAGAATCTTGGTAATCACCTTAACCTCAATTGCTTCACCCCTTCCTTTGCAACCAGAGTGTCCTTTGAAATATGCTTGGGACAGTTATAAATCCTCCAAGGGAAGTGGGTTTGGTGAAATACCCCCTCATTCTCAGTGACTTCAACAGAATCGACCTCAAGGAGTGACACAAATGGGGCAAAATGAAATCATTTTTCAGGGCTCTGAAGGTAGATGTTAGAAGGGGAATGATATAATTGTGTTTGAACTACCTCAGATTATTTTTTTTGCCAAATAAATTTAATAAACTTTGTTAATATTAAAATGTTAGGAATCCAAATAACTCATAATTGAATTGCAGCGATCTACTAAGAAATGTTGGCATATTTTTCTTCTTTTCAGGAACTTTTTGATACAGAATCAGATATGGCCTCTCAGCAGGAAACTCTTCAGACCACAGTATCTCTACAAGCTCCTCAGGTACTAGAATGAATCTATTTCTGTGTTTTGTAGAAATCAAAGCCTTCAACTTCAACTTGACTTCTGACAACTGCATCTTTGCATTTTCTTGGGAGCACAGTAGAAGTGGTTGTGTTGTCTCTTAGATACTACTTTGCAGTCTAGCCAACCAACTTGAATTAAGAGCAACCCTACTTAGTTGCCAAGGTAGGCAACACACTGCCACCTCCTGAGGTATAAAGCTGTGGTCTGCATTCTGATTTGTGGATTCACATAGATTTCTTTGCTTTCTGTGCCCCCATAGTGAATTATGTATAGTGGATTCTACAGCCTTTGACAAAGTTGAACATTCATTACATTTCTGGAATACGGCAGATTGTAATGGGAGCTATTGAATAACCAAAACAACAGTTGGTGAAGAAGCAGAGAAATTTGTTGATCTGTGTAAATTTTCAAAAATCCATGTTAAGTTTATTAGCATCATTCTGAAATAAATTGGCCCAAATTGTAAAATGGGGGGGACATTCAGATTTGAAACAATTACAACAAATGGAAAGTTTCATGTTTAACTTTTTAATAATGTATAATCAAAATTTTATCTAGTATTTCTTCCTTTTTTCTCTACCCAGAAAATGCCCAGTACCGATCTTTCAGATATCCCTGCTCTCCCTGCAAATCCTATTCCAGTTATCAAAAATTCAATAAAACTAAGATTGAATCGGTAAAACCAACCTCAGGGGTCCATAAACAGTATCTGCCAATTTAACCTGTTGTCTTCTAATACTGGAAAGGAGAACAGAAGGTGCAAGACGAGAATGTGAACACAGATGGATTTAGGTATATTTTGTGCACTTCCCTTGCTGGGCTATAATCACTTGATCTGGAAGTCCAGGTTCGTATTTGTGGAGCCAGGAGTACTATTAATGTGTTAGCAACAGTTACATTAAATTCTTTAAAGGATTACTGCCTAAAAAAAGGAATGGGATACTATTTCTAGCCATATTTGATGTACTGATTGGGTTTGTGTTGATGCATTGTTTGGAAGAAAAGAAATTCAGCTAAAACTGGCAAAAGAATTCCTTAAATGCACTTTTATGTACTTTTTTATTGGAATATGACTAATTTTAGTGCTTCAGCTTGATAGATTTTATTTTTATTAAAAAAAATTCTTCAAAATCTTTGACCTTCAAATTAGAAAATGGCTTGATATATTGTATACTGAAGGTAAAAGTATGCACTGTATCTAGCTCAGTCACCATTAGGATGCAGCAAACCCTTATAAGAAAATGTCAAATCTTGAGGTTCTAAGTTTGGTAAAATTCATTTAAAATATTTGATGGGACATGATTAAGAAATTGTCTATTTTTTATTTTTGGGGTTATTTTATGGTGCATACAAATCAGCTATCAAAAAGCAAATAATTGTTTCCTTCAGTTTAATCAAGCCTTCTCCTTATTACCTTCCCATTCCTATTACCATATTTTTTGGAGAGGAAAAAGAAATGTTTGCATTTAATTCATGTTTCGTTTGTATGCACAAAATTGGACTATTGTTGTCAGTGAAAGGCTGGTAGTTTTTCTTTTAAGCTCTGTAGCCCTTAGGTACAGATGCTATTTCCCCCCAGAAATGAAATACAGTAAATAAAGTGTGCCTGTGAAGCATAGTCCTGTTTTGATGGCTTTTTCATCATTAAGTATAAGAGTTTTGTATACTCCAGAGGAGTCCTGTCTGCATTACAAAGATTTCATATTTTAAGGCAGATCTTACCTACTCTAGGGTTTTAACAGTTTTATTTTTAGATAGCTCATCTGAAAATAGCTTTACATTCTGAATGTTTCATTTTTTTAGAATCACATTTCTAGCAGGCACTTAAATTATCTGATAAAGCTCTCCTTAACCAGTTGTTTTTGCTTTGTTCTGTAGAGCTATAAAATTATTAGCAAGTTTGTTTAAAAATGGAAATCTCTCATGACTAAACAGAAAGTGTGGAATGCCAGTGATTATCAGATGGAGATAACAAACTACACGTAACCTTGATTTCAGCAAAATTAAGTGGGATGGTTAAACTGCCCTTCCCATTTTTTCTGATCAGCATGTTTAATAACTTCCTTCCCTGCATTGTGCTCAATCCTTCTACATGTGCATTTCCATATTAAAGAAAAAATTAATTGCTCTTTCCCTTTTCCCTATAAGTTAATTTTCCAAAGTCAAGAGAATGTAGCTTACTCACCCTACCTATCTCCTCAGCTACGCAGTAACCAAGATCTTTATTTTCTGCCATTTTGTCTATGAAGTCTAGTATAAAAAATTCTTACCCCTGCCCTCTTCTGCCTCCAGTGATGCAGCTTCCACCCCCTTAAATTTTCCCACACCCTCCTTTGCTCCTTCTCTTTCCCCTGCTGCCCAAACAAGAAGGGTATCAGTTGAAGTGTACAAGCTATCTGTGCATTTTGTGTAGCTATGGAGTTTAGATCGAACTTGCCAGGCACAAATTTAGTCTTGTTTACACATCAGGACATCCCCCGCCCCCTTCATTTTATTAAACGTTTCATGTATCTGCACCCAAGTTTTGCCAAGCTGGGAACTTGGAATCTTTCCTGTATAGTGACTTTTTAATTCTAGTTTTCATAACCTGGAGATCAGACTGTTGCTTTCGCATGATGTACGTAGGTGTCTCATGACTGGAGTTGCTTTGTTTTATAGTATCTGTACTCCTTGTATTTTTCAAGAGCTATTTTGTAAACAGATGATGTATTTCTCCATGGAAAACAATAAAAAAAACAGCACAATCCCACAGTTGCTTGGTTTCTTTTGAATGTATATATAGTGGTATTCCACAATTATTAAATTAGTCTAAATAAGAAACCTAGATGTGAATACAACACTGCTGAAAATAAAAGAAGCGAATTTAAAACCATCCACTAATAATATATATATAGTCAGAATCTGTATTTTTAAAAAATGAAATATTACTGCCTGGCTTTTATTTTTCAAAGGACCAAAGAATATATCCATTACTTAATGCTGCATATTATTAATCTAAGTATAGAACTATGGAATAATGAGAATTTAATTCACTTGGGGAAGAGTGGAATTTAAGCTTGAAACTGCTAGTGATATTTCTATTTTTCTTATTGAACTGATCAGCATATCATGAAAAAAGTGTAAGTTAATAGTTCAGCCAGGAGATGGCACTGTTTCTTTCTTTCAGTGAGTAAAACCTGCACAACAATAACAAAGACATACCAAAATCCAGGTACCACTTAATATTATTTTTCCACCAGCTTTGTGGTTAAAACAAATCCACTGAATAGTCTCAATGTTATCTACTCACTTTTATTTCAAACTTGGAAAGCAGTCTTGACTTAAATAGAAGATGATTTACATATCTATTTGGAATGTAGTTAGTTTAAATTAAACATAACAGTTTATAGCAAGTGATTAAGAGTTGCATTAATTTATAATCTTTAGTTAGAAAGTACTATGTTTCAAATATGCATTTTCAAGGAATTTTAGAATTTGCCCAGCTGCCACTGTTTGTGTAGGATCAGAAGTCACTGTGAAACTTAAGTAAGCAGAATAAAGGTCAAAGGGATCTTAATGCAAGTAGAAACTCCCGACTTTTCAAGGAATTTCTATCTGGTATTCTGAGTATATGAATGCATCTTTAAATGACTAATGAAATCAGTTTTTTAAATGAGAAAATATATTCATATATTCCTTAATGTCCATGTATTTTATTTTGTATTTTTATTATATTTCTACATATCTAGAAATTTGGAGATTTCTACACATCCTAGTTAAGAAAACTGAATTTTGAACTGTGGTATTCATTTTTATTGCTAATTTAATAATATGAAAAATAAAAGCAAACAAATTAAAAGTACGTTGCACATGTACTAGAACAGAACTTTTATTAATTATTTTTATTCACTTTAATCTTCAAAGCATTACTTCATTATTCAACAGAATCAGAGTATACAAATTTTGTTGATAGGAGCAGATGCAATGTGAAAGGGTTAAATGAATATTTAAAATCTATAGGCATTAAACATCTGCCACTATTATCACCAAAAGAGTGCTAAGTTTGCTATCAAACTTCCGAGTCAGGATATTGTTATATAAAAAAATATCACAATGAACCATTGCTGGATATTCCATCTGTTTTGGTTCATACTTAGAACCTTAATGGCTTTCAAGTGATGTTTAATATGTCATATTGTTGATACTAAATTCCACAAAGTTTGGCGATCATATTTAGACAAGGGTTGAATCATGACAAGCAGCCTATATTCCGTTTTCAATCCATGTTCATATTCACGATATTTATAGTGCTAAAGGGAACTGATTTTAATTTGCTTTAAGCACATTAGGAATTCCCATCATTGTTTCAATAAAGATAAAGCAAAATAAACTAAAGCAAAGTGTAGAGAAGCTGAATTCAAATAAAATTGTTTAGTAACCAATTGAAAAACTGTGCATTAATTAGTCTATAGAGGCATAACATTAAATTGCTGCTTTTAAATAAGTGTTTCTACCCAAAGAGCTTTTTTTCCCAGTAAAAGTGGGTAGATAATTTTCTAACATAACAGCAGTGTCTAGTTTTTTGGTTTTTTTTAACAATGATTGCTCTGTAGGACAAATAGTATATGACCTCAAATTCTACCTTCCTTTAAATTTAGAGATATGTATTTTGTGTAATGAATAACAGTATTGCTTTGTTCATGACAGGCACCAGATTGAACATCCCACAGAAAATAGTTAAACACGCACATAAAAGTCACATTTTATATGCACATTTATAATAAAAACATTTTTATATAATAGCAGTCATGTTTTTATATGTAGACATTATATGTATGCATATAAAAGTGGCAGTTTAGAATCATAATGGATACAAGTGAGCTACGGATACCTGAATGTTACAAATGCTATAGTTGGTAGAAGTGTTTTGAGATTTTTTAAAAAACAAATATAAAGCTCAGTCCTAGAAAGAGTGTAAATAATATACTGGAAAACTAGCGTACTTCAAGACACCTAGTTTATTTTATTTGTTTCAAGACAGTGTTCATTATTTGTGACTACCTGCACAGGTCCAAGTAATTCTCTTGACAAGATTTTCAGAAGTGGTAGCTGATGTTGTGGGCTGAGAATATCTGGCCTAAGGTCACCCAGCTGGCTCTGAGCCTGTGGCAGGACTAGAACATGGGGTTTCTAGTCTGGTGCCTTAACCACTATAACCAAATGGATATTCTCAAGATATACTGTACATTTGTATGTCTATGGAGATTCTCAATCCTCCAGGTAAAAAGCATTTTTGGAATTCCCACTTGTACATTTGATAGGAGGCTTAAAAACTTGAAACTATGAAAATTTAAACATTTGAAAACATAGCACATGTGAGAATGGACTTGCGGGGATTATATATTTAGTTCTCAGATTTCTATATTTGGTAAATCCATGGGTTTTCAGTTTGGAATTTCTGTATTGCAACTTTGCCTTATGTTGGATAGAAAAATTGTCTTAGAAAAGTTTGGCCCTTTCATTTTATGTATTGTGATCCAATGTTAAGTCCCACCCAGTGGATGCCCCAGAGAAATATGCACTTCCTGGAATTTTCCATTTCAGTTGTATCTATATTCAGTCTTCTGCTGGAATTGTTACTAAAAAAACACCTGGTACTGAAGTAGTCAAAAAGAGACAGTTGGGAAAGTGTTCTCCTTCAGCAACAGAGGGCATGTTTTGCTGTCACAGCCAAGAATACTGCCTCCAATAGAGAAGTGACTTGCTTAGATATTATGTGAAAGTTATCAGTGATATGGAGGCTTTCAGAGTTTTCATAATAGTAATATCTTTTGTTATTGCTGGTCATTTTTGTTTTATACTGGTATTTGGGTTAGGATTAGTTTCCTTGATCCAAGGGAAAGGAAATATGAGTTTCATTATGAGCTTTGTGGCCTATTCATAATAAATTTATTAAATACTCATAGATTCCCTGGCCTAAAGATTTATGAACATTTTAAACTAAAATACATGTCTGCTTAACATTTAGGAAAATAAATGCTTAACATTTGAGAAAATAATGTTTTGTAATTTTGTTTTATGATGGTACTTGTTTTTAATGTAGGATTTGGATTAGGATTAGCTTCCTTGTATATAAAAATCAAATTTTTGTTCTAAAAATGTCAGATCCATTATCTTTTCACTGAAATATTGCTGTTATGTATAATTCTTTAATTCTTTTATTGAGGAAATAGATTATTTTAATTGACTTAAGTTGGATGAAATACATTTCTAGGATGAGGAATAGAAATAATTTTCAAAATTATTTTTCCCCGTAAATACAGAAACAATTGTGAAAATTAGTAACTGCTTAAATCATGATTAGAAATAGTCCGTTTTTAATATTATTTCTAAATGTCCTAGACTAAATATTCCTTTTTCTCATAGGATAGAAATATTGCTCTTCCACTGTCACTTAATAAAAAAGGGATTATTTTATCTTCAGAATGTTTTGTAAGTATTTTAAGAAGCAATTAATCTCACCAAGTATTTTTTTAAAAGAAAGCTTTTCAAAAGAACAAAATACAAAAATATACATGTTTTAAAAAAAGCAAAAATAACAGCCATGTCAAAATAACTTTTAAAAAAACAAACGCCAAAAAGGCCTGAAAATCATTCAATTCAGTTTGTGCATTATACATTCCAAATTTTGAATATCAACACTTAAAACTGCTCACCCCAATTCCTAATTTGACAAGAAAGAAGAGGCACCCCCAACACAAAGGATTTCCCAGAGATTGAGATAGCTTGACAAAGTCAAGAGGGGAAGCAGTTGGTTGTGAGATTCAGATTCATGCTGTTGCTTGGGCATGAAACTCTTTGGGTGAGCTTTGGTTAGTCTTACATCCCATCAGTGGAGGTGGAACAAATGATGAAAGCAACATTGTGCCTATGAGGTACAGGCTAGAACCCTTTTGTGTGTCCATTGTGACCTTGCACATACAAATGGAGTGGAGCTTACATTACAGCTGTAGGATGCTGCCTCCATTTTAATGAAAGTCCTGGATCCTGACGATGCTCCTAAACTCAAAGATACAGAAAGCTGTATAGATGCATGCTTGGGGTAAGGTAGAAGGGAGGATGTCTTAGTATGGAGGAGTCATAATATTGGGCTTTGGTCCAGCTGCTGCTACCCTACATCCCTCCCCAGTCTGTTCTGTTTATCAGGAAGTTGTATTGCTAAATATCAGACAAATGGACAAGCTTGATCCTTTTACACAATGTTCTTTTCATTATTTTGTTGGGTTGGAAGAAATTAAATGATAAGTATAATTATCATTTAATTCCTTAGTGAATATATATCCTGTCTTTGGAGACTTAAGGCAGCTTATGTATGGATGTCCCTTAATTTTACCGTGCCAGTTACAATAATGGGAAAGGTTTGGAGACACTTAATATTTTTAAAACCTGAATTCCTTTATATTTAAATTTTAATTTCCTTTTTGCTGCTTAATATGGCAGTATTAGAAATATCTGACATATAACACATTCAGCTTTTTGCTAAAGGTTATATGTAAAAAACCCAAAAAGAAGCAGTTTATTGCTTTAAACTGAAAGGCTTTGCTTGTAATTTGTGCTAGATGTTTGTCCACAGAGGATACAAGCTATGTAAAGCAGATTTTATTTACAGCACAATGCTTAAGGCTTAATAGTTGACCTCTCCCCACCCCCTGGTTTGGTAGCTCTGTTTTCAAATCATAGAAATATAGGCAACTGGATCCATATACAGCT